TTCCTCGCCTGAGGCTAAAGCTGCTGACAGTCTCTTCCCTTCCACCCCCAAAATCTTGAACGGCAACATATAAAACTCACATGCTTGGTTATTCTGAAAACTGAAACCACTACATAAAATCCTTCTAAACTCATCATTAAATTTCTTTTCCAAACTTATTACTAAGGGTGCTCAAAATAGAATGTTCCAAGTTAAATACAACCACCCACCACACCTAGAACATGTCTAGATGTCCTGCCTTCTCTTTGCTGCTGGTATGAAGAGCGACCAGGCTCTTACTGGACTTTAAGCATCTTGAAGAAAGGTGCAATTTCATTTTGCCTCCCTAATGCCTTACACACAGTGCCTGGCTGGAAGGACTTGTTTGATCAACAATTCCTCGAGTGAGTGACACTGATAGGAGGTTCACATTGGTACAGGGGTTTGTTGAGATTTGCTTTGAAATGTCATCTCACAAAGATACAACCCTACACTGTTAAGAATTTGGGTTGTTTAAAAAAAACTTTTTTTTTTTAAGAGATGGTACCATTCTGCAAATTCTAAACACAAGAAATTATATTAACAGAAGGAAAGAACGTTCTTCCCTTTCCTTTTCCAAAGGATGCTTTTTCTACTCCACCATCTTCTTGGCAGCAAACAAGACTTTTAGCTCTTTGATATTTTCTTCCAATTCAAATTCACATTGTGAAGTGAAAAACTGCCACGACTAACAAGTTAATGCTGGAATCCTACCATGTTATGCCTGGCTTGTTTTCATCATCTCATGGTCTGAACTTCCCAAGAGTGAGAGAAAAACAATGTCCGTTTCTGCTGACCTACTGAAACCAGTGGGCTGTCACATAGCCTCTGTTTGTTGGTTTACTGGAAGCTCTTGGATTTGTCCCAGTGGAAAGGCAGTAAGTTATTTTTTCCTATCTGAGAAAAGTAAAGATAAACCTTATCTATAAAAAGTTTACCTTTCTTTCTTAAAAAGAAAATTGGCAAATCCACTTCATATTGTTCCTAACTTTTCCAAGGACATTTCTGTTTCTATTGACCTCTGAAAGACCACTCTAACAAAATCTTCTGCCCTCCCACCAGGAAACACCGTCACTGCCATTCGCACTGCAGAACGTAAGCATCGCCTTTCCACACTGTCACTTTATGGAATGGAATGGAAGATAGATATTCGGGGGACATTTTGGGGAGTAACTTTTTAAAGTATAAAATATATCAGTCAAGTATACAAATCTTAAGTGTCCTACTTAATGTTTATAAAGTGAAACATCCATGTTAACTGCCACTCAGATCAAGATTACCAGAAAACTCCTTCATGTACCATCCTAATCATTCCCTACCACAAAGGTAACCACTATTCTGACTTCCATCATTAAGGTTAGTATGCCTGTCCTGTTTTGTGTAAATGGAAGCATATCAGATGTGCTCTTTTGTGTCTTCTCTCTTTTCTTATGTATATAAGATTGAGCTATGTAGCTATATTTGGCACTAGTTTATTCTTTTTCATTGCTGTATAGTGTTCTACCATGTGACCCTCCCTCCCTCCCTCCCTCTCTGTCCCCCCCTCTCTTTTGCTGTTTGCGCGCACGTGCACATGTGTGTGTGTATGTGTGTGTGTGTGTGTGTGTGTATATATATATATATACACATTTATACATTCTATTTACACATTCTACTACTGACAGTCATTAGTGTTGTTTCAAATTTTGACTACTATCAGTAAAGCAGCTAGGAATATTGTTATCGTGCCTTCTGGTAAACATAAACACTCATTTTTGTTCTGTATTAAAACAAGAATGGAACTGCTGGATCATGACATATATATACGTTCAGGTTTAATAGATACTGCCAAACATATTCCAAAGTCTTTATGCCAAGTTATGATCCCACCAACTATTACAGAAGAGTTCAAGTTGCTCTATATCTTTGTCAATATTTGTGCTGTTTTTAACTTTTTTTAGTTATTCTGATGCATGTATATCAATCTTCTTTTTATGCTTAGCAGTCATTAGGATATACTCTTTTGTGAAGTGCCTATTCAAATCTTTTGCTCTTTTTCCCCTAAAATGGTTGTCTTTTTTCCTATTGATTTGTAAAAGTTCTTTATATATTTTAGATATTTTTTTTTCACTATATATATAGAAAATATATTCTCCCAGGATGTGGCTTGCCTTTTGACTCTTAATAGTATCTTTCAATGAAAAGAGACTATAATTTTCATGAAATTCCATTTATCAGTTTATGATTAGTGATTTTTATAGCATTTTCCCCCCAAAGGAGTAGGTGACACAAGGAGCAGTAGACTTGGAGAAGGGAGCATGTGGACCACCACAGCTGAATCCACATTTACACACCAACCAGATATAGATGTCAATTCAAGCATAGACTTTGAGAATCTATTGAGTATTGTAAAGGGGAACACAAAGACATTCTGTTATATTTCCTACTTGAAGCTTATTGTTTTACCTTCCATATTTAGGTCTCTGATCCACTTGGAATTGATTTTTGTGTATGGTATGATATAGGTTCGAGGTTCATTTTTCCCATACGCAATTGAGTCAGCATTTTTTTAATCGGGAAAAAAAAAAAAACTCCCCTGCTCCCAAATTATAATGGCATGTTCATCAGAAGTCAAGTAATTTTGTGGGTTGGTTTCTGGACTCTTCATTCTGTTCTGTTGGACTTTTTAACCTTGGGTCAAAACCACACTATCTTAAATATTTAAAGTCTTGCAATTTGGTAATAAGTTCTTCAATTCTGTTGCTTTTCTTCAAGATTGTTTTGGCTGTTATAGGTCTTAATTGCTTAGGTTATAGATTTCCTTAATAATGTTAGATTATTAATTTCTATAAACAAAAACCTGCTGGAATTTTTCTTGAGATTGCACTGAATCTACAGATATAGGAAGAACTCACATCTTAACTCTTTTGAATCATCATCCATGATGATGGTGTATGTCTCTATTCCCCATTTATTTAAATCTTCTCTAATTTCTCTCAACAATGTTTTATAGTCTTCAACATAGAAGTCTTGCTCATATTTCATTGGATGTTTTTCTTGATTTTGATGTTTTTATTTAATTAATTTTATTATAAATGATTTAAATTTTTCCCAATTGTTTGCTGGTAGTCCAAAGAAATACAGTGGATCTTGTTGACCTCTACCCTGTGACTTTGTTAAATTCACTTATAAATTCTATTAGTTTGTAGATTACTTTGGATTATCTACGTACAGAAACTTGACATCTGTAAGTAGTAGAGTTTGCTTCTTCCTTTCTAATCTCTATGCTTTTAATTTCTTTTTCTTGCCTTTATTGAACTGGCTACAACCTCAAGTTACATTAAATACTGTTGAATGTTAGTATGATAGTGAACATATGTGTCTTGTTCCTGACCTCAATTGGAAAAGGTTAATATTTCACTACTAGGTACAGTGTTAATTATAGTTTTTTAAAGATATTACTTGTTTGCTGAGAGCTTTACCATACTATTATGAAATTTTATCATAGTATTGAATTTTATCAAATGCTGCACCTATTCAGATGATTGTATGAGTTACCTATGTTCCATTCATTATACCCTTTATTTTTAAATTTCGAGATATAAATTCACATGCAATTATAATGGGCATTAAAGAGGGCACATGATATGATGAGCACTGGGTTTTATATGCAAATAACGAATCATTGAACACCGCATCTGAAACCAATGATGTACATGTTGGCTAATTGAATTTAAATTAAAAAAAGATAATATGAACAGATAGCATGTACTCTTTATCCAATTTTCCTCAACAGTATAATTTTTCAGAATTATAGTATAATATCACAGGCAGGATATTGACATTGATTTAATCCACTTGTTCTGTTTGTGTTTCCACTCTGATTTCTGAATGTTACCAACCCGGTGTTCTTTATTCGTGAAACATGTATAACTGGATTCAATAAGTTAATATTTTGTGGGGATTTTACATCTGTATTCACGAGAGATATTGGCCTGTTGTTCTCTTTTCTTGTAATGACTTGCCAGGTGTTGGTGTTAGGATTATATTGGGCTCATTGAATGATTTGGAAGTGTTTCTTTTTTCTCTGTTCTCTGAGTTTATGTATGTTTGCTACTCTATCTTTTTGAAATACTTGGAGAAATTTACCAGTAAAGCAAGCCATCTTGGTTTGAAATCTTCCTCATGGGAAAATTTTAAGTACATATTAGATCTTTTTTTATAGATTGGGGACTATTCAGAATTTTTTTTTCCTCCTGAAAGAAATGTTTTTCAAGAAATGTTTCCATTTCATCAAAGTTGTCAACTTTATTGAGAAAGTTTTTTCCTTTAATTTCCTTTTATGATATTTTTCATAATGTCAGTAAAATCTGTAGTGATACTTTTTCATTTGTTTTTTGTTTTCTTTCTTGATTAGTCTGACTAGGAGTTATCAACTTTACTAGGAGTTATCAACCATTCAAACTGGCTTTTGGCTTGTTGATATTCTCTTTGTCTTTGGCCTTATATTTAAAAGATATTCCTTGTAGACAGCATTATAAGTAAATGTAGCTTTAAAATGGAAAGTTGATGTCAGATTCAGGCACAGTCATAGTCCTTGTCTTGTGGCACTCACAAGAGGGAAGTGGTAATGGTCTTGAACTGGGACTTAGCAGTTTAGACTTGTATTTTTTTTTCTAAGATTTATTAATTTATTTGAGACAGATAGGGCTGGGGGGCAGAGAGAGAGGGAGAAAGAATCACAAGCAGATTTCCCACCAAGCCTGGAGCCCAGCCCGTGCTCCATGTGGGGCTTGATGTAAGGCTGGACATGGCGCTCCACACAGGGCTCCACATGGGGCTTGATCATAGGACCCTGAGATTGTGACCTGAGCTGAAATCAGCTGCTTCACCAACTGAATCACCCAGGTGCCCCCAGCAGTTTAGACTTAACAGAAGTGAGAGGGAAAGGATCTCACTCTTGGTGGAATATTTTTATATAATAAATTACCACCCTCAAATTCATTTGTTTCTAAAGCATTTTATATTTATTATAGTGTTAGATTAAAGAAGAATAGGCTTGAATTGTGGCCTGGCTATCATTCAGCACTCTCAGAGGCAAAGCTGTGTAGTCAGTGCTATACAAGTCTCAGAATTTGTCTTAGAAAACTCCTAACTGAACTGTTTCTTTTTGGAATGCTAGATGAAGCAGCAGACTTTAAGTGGTAAGGAAACTCAGAAACCATCTTGGGCCCATTATCATTTTTCTGTATACTTGGATATGGAAATATAAAGTGTACTCTCATTTTTGTCATGCAGATAAATGAACAGCTGAATACTTAGAACTTGGATTTTAAATGTCATCATGACCTTTAGAAATAACAACCAGTTTAAAAATGGACCAAAGTGTAAATAAAATGGGCAAGTAATACACTTAAGTTCCCAATGAAAATTTATAAGAAAAAGTTATTTTTGCTTTGCAGTGTTTGGTCTTAGAGAAAAGACTTCATCATTTTATATGTGATGCGGCTTTCTGGGCTCCTGACATCTTCATAACATTTGACTGGAATTTCTTTCTCTTGAAAATGAATGGGCATTTTCTGGCTCTCCACACTCATGAGCTTCACTTGCAGGGGACCCAGGTTTACATAATCCTATGGTGAACAGACACAGAAGAGAATAGGAAAGGTTATCCAACAAGGTATCAGTCTTAATAGTTAGGTTTCTTTTATTATAGTTGGCCTTTATCTGACAGACTTCATTGCCCTCTTAACTGCCTGAATAACATGTGAAATATGAGAGCCACTGTAAACAGAAAACCACTCAATAAGCTTGTATACCCAGTGGGGCATGGTTTCAAGAGCTGCCAAAGAGCAGGCAGCAAGCCAACAGGCTTGTCTTTCAGGGAGTTGGGTGGGGAGCACCAATTAGAGTAGGGAGATACATTCTCTCAAAGTCTTTAATTGGTAAAAGAAAAGTGTTGGCTATATGTACCCTCTGCTGGCCAGGATATAACCACAGCAGAGTTTTCTACATTATTCAAGAACAATGGGAAGGATCTGTAAACATCACTTTGACTATAAATATTCTTATTAAGCAAATGCTCCATGAATTTTTCACTTCTCAAAGGACCACTGGGTACTGTATAAGTAAAACTGACCATATTCTGTCAAACTAACTATAGTTTAAGATATCTGCAAATGGAATTAGAAATCTAATTTACATGAAATCCCAGCCAACCCAATAGTGGGTTGAAACAGCTCAGGCCCTACCCAGCATGCCTTCCTCTTAGAAGCCACCTCTTTTGAATTCCTTCAACATTTCAGCAAACCTTTCCTGAGTTCCCACTTTGTACCAGGCCCTGTACCAAGTGCTGAGGTACAATGATAAGGTCACAGACTGACTGGTCAGGGAGACAGATACAGGTGCTACATTCCTCATGTACATTGATTAGTGATGTTCTAATCTGTCTTCTAGCATGTAACAGTGTGAGGGGAGGGCGTTCCATATAGGCATCTTTGAAACTTCATTTCCGCCTATTCTCCCCATAAATTCCCAAACATCTAACAAGTACCTGGCATGTGTGGGGTTTTCAAGAAACATTTATTAGAATTTAGGAAAATCACTGAATGAAAAAAGGAAGGCATTATTTTATTCCTCAAAAATACATATAGTTGTATTTATTTTATTTTAAAAATATGTAATTATAGAGCTACACTAAACATAAGATAGGAGAAAAACAAACTGACGGATGTCTCCAACATATTTCAGAGTCTTCTCAAGCTGTCATGACAAAATATCATAGATGGACTGGCTTACACAGCAGACATTTAGTTCTCACAGTCTGGAGACTGGGAAATTCAAGATCAGGGTGCTACATTGGACGAGTTCTGATAAGAGTTCTCTTTCTGGCCCGCAGATGGCTGCCTTCTCGCTGTGCCTATAAGAAGGCACATCCTCTTCTTATAAGTCACCTTCCTATCAAACTGGGGCTCCATTTTTTTTTTTAACCTCATTTAACCTTAATTACCTCCTAAAGACCCTATCTGTAGATTGGGTGTGAGGGCTTCAACATATGAATATGGTGGGGGTGGGAATGGGGATGGGGATCCAATTCAGTCCATAGCGTACATAGTGCCATTTCCACCATCAAAAACCTCCATGGAAAGTAAGAAGGTCTTTCATTCAGCCAAATGGTATGTGAGTTTGGAATTTTGTAAACAATGGTGCACTAGCCTGAGGTCATGATAACATACCAAGTGTCATGATTTCAAAACCTCCATGGGGGTGTTTGAATGCCACAGAGACTAGAACTTTAGTCTTTGTCACTTGATGTTAGCAGGACTGAGGTGTATTCAGCTAAAATGGTTTGTGTTGATTTTTTTAGTTTCTTCTGCTTTCATATAGCACTCGTTCTCCTACCAGCCTTTAAGTTCTAGGAGAATTTTTAAAGTTATTGGTAGTACCAAGAAGGAAAATGGCAAGGGATAGGTATGGGAGTAATTGGAATGTACCAAAAAGGCTTTAAAAGTGAAAAGCTTTGATACTCCAGTTTTCACCTAATATGGTATATGCGGCAGTCTACACTTTCCAAAGATGGCCATGCCAATAGATATCCTATCCCACATGCTGTTCTTAGAGTGTGGTGCTCCTTCCTCTTTCCAGATGCAGGAGCTACATTCCCTCCCTTTGGGTGGAACTTTGTAACTACATCGACGACTAGAATATGAGAAAAGAGATGGTATATGATTTCCAAATCTAAGTCATATAAAATATTGCAGCTTTCACCTTGGTCCCTGGTATTGCTTGTTCTCAGAGAAGGCAGACACCATAATAAAACAATAAAGGCACCCCGTGGAGAGCCCATGTGAAGAACGGAGGCTCCCAGCTTAGCCAGCATTCACTTGCCAGCCATCTGAGTGAGCCACCCTGGAAGTGGATCCTCCTGCCCCAGTCAAGCCTTCAGATGACCTCGTCGCCCCCGCTGACATAGGACTGCAACTGCCTGAGGGCCCAAGTGAGAACTGTCCACTGGAGCCCTTCCCAAATTCCTAACCAACAGAAGCCATGAAAGAGAAGAAATGACAATTGTTACAAGCTGCTAAGTTTGGAGGTAATTTGTTATATAGCATTAGATAACTTACATGGTATACTAGGAATGAACCCCTGTTAATGAATATATGTAGCAAATTGCACAAGAGTAAAAGTGAAAATTCTATCTATTGAGAGATATGAATGGTGGGCCAACTTTACTAATAAGTTAGTTCAAATAGAATTTTTCAATATCCATGTTTTAGGTTAATTTTCTCAATTAATAAAACGACATGTACTCAAAAGTGCATGAGTACTCTTAGTACTCAAAATTTTCATGAATCTTACCTTGAAATCCTTCTCATCCTCATATAGTAAGTATTTAATATCAGAGGGCCCAAACTCTATACATGAGCTGTTTTCTTCATCTGTCTGCAGTTGCTTGGCATATCTGATACCATCCTCATGACTGAGATACAAAGCACTGTCCTCTGCTGATGAACTCATGAGGTCTCTACCTTTTACTTCTGCAGGTTGCAGTTTTGGGATGAATACAAAGAAATTGGTTATTTGGGGATCGAGAAAAATGAAAGTACAATATACACTTTCTCACACTTTTAATTTGAAAGAGCTTTGAAAAATATAGAATCTATGTATTATGGTGAGAGTGAGTCCCATGTTTAGAATCTTTAAGTTGTATGCCCTTCTGTTAGCTGTTAGGTTTTGGTAATCATATGGTAACTTATATCATATGGTAACTTATGTGCATGCTGGTATTTTGGTTGGTTGACTAAACAGGAACCAAAAACACACCAGTGTAGACAGCACCCCATCCCTTTCCACGAGTATTTAATGTAATTCTCTGAAACATAGTGACTTTGATTTGAAAACAGGACAGAGAAAGCTGTAAGAAGAGAAATATGGAGAAGCTGGCCTGTATTTATTCCCTGAATAGCTCTTGGGTATGAGGTACCTGTCTATAATAGGTGCTCAATAAGTATTTGTTAATTAAAAAAAAACCCTATCACCATTACAATAAAATAATACCCCCATATATTTCTGGCAACTCCAAAGGCGCTTTAGGTGGAGCTTTCAGTCCAGCAGCTTGAGTCAGATACAGTTGCCTAAAAAGAACAAATGAGAAAAACAGCTTGTCAGTTAACAAATATTACACCATCTGCTCACTGGTGTCTTTCTCTCTGGTAGGTGTTGGAGACACATAGATGAAAAATGAGACATAGTTTCTATCTTTGAGGTCCATGAGGCCCAGTGGGGTACAGAGAGACCTACAGTATTTTAGGGTGATGGTCTCTACCCTGATGGGTGAGTAGGGGAGTGTGACAAATGCTGTGGGACAGAAGCAACACCTGATGGAGCTTTAGGAGTCGGGAAAGGTTTCCAGGTGCAGACGGTACCTGAACTGAGTCTTGAAGAACCAGAGGCTGTTTGCCAGGGAAGGGCTTGGGGTGAGGAAGGGTATTGCATGATAAGGGAATAACACACTTAATGTCCTGGGAATGAAAGTGAGCACGACACCTGTTAGGGTGCTATTGTAGTAATCCAGGTGAGGGACAACTGGGGCTTGACTGGATGGTTTTAAAATGAAGAGAAAAAGAGAAAGAGAGCGAGCAGCAGGAATCCCAGATGACATGGAGGATCCGGCTGTCACCGAGTGGCAGGTTTCAGTCACATGCAGGTGATGTGCACGTCCACCAACGCAGCTCTCGGTGCACATGTGTAAGCCTGTGCTCTGCTTTTCGGCACCCACTGAACTTTCAACCAGAATATATGAGGTCTTGGCAGCTCCCTATAGCTTTGCCTGAAGACAGCGTGGATCGGACTCTTGCAGATAGTCAAACCAGCCCCCATGCTTACCAGCTCAGCAATCAGAGTGAAGCCCCTGGATTATAGGTTGTCAATTATTTAAAGAACATGAATAAGTGTTATTCAAACTGCGTAAGTCTCCAGCAAATAATATAACTGCATACAATATTTATGTTTATAAAAGCTTTTTAAGGTTCAGCTCAGTAAAGGTCACTTTCACATGTAGCTCTGGTCTGCAGGTAGACATGTCTGAGGTCTTAGAATTCTCTTCTTTCCTGGTTTTCCCATTTTGAATCATTATGATCGTACTAAATGTCTTAAACTTCATAAGTGTGGATTCTCTCATAACCATTAATTTGTTGTCACCTTTGTATCACCATAGTGCACCGACACTTGATAATATGGAAAATACTTAAAGAATGTTATTATATGAAGTTAGTGTTAGATTTGTAAGTATTGGTCCACTTAGCCTCAGTTCTGTGGTGCTGGGGTCCCTGGGCAGTCACCTGTGGTGGACGTTCGCCTCATCTCATGTGTCTAGCAGATTCTATGACATTCTATGTGAGTTGTGAAGGAGGAAGTCTGGGGAGCATTGGATGGGAAAGGTAGTAACTCTATTAGCTAAAATACCCCCATTCTTGAGCCAAATAGGAAAACACTTTTTGTATGTCCTTTGGGCATAGTTTGTGTGTATTTCTCACCCTCCTAGTATATGACAAGACTGAGTTGCCATAAAATATGCAATATATATTATATTTCTTTGACTTGAAAATGGCTTATAGTAAAAGTTGCTGAATACACTCAAAAGTTATCCCTGAGAAGTAGTGGAACAGATAATCGAGGGTTAACACATTTCTGTTCCTTTATGCAGATCTTTCTAAAATGTCATAAACACTTGCCCCAAGGAATTTATAATCTAGCAAGGAAGCAGCCATTAAATAAGTAATCACGAGTGTGATAAATGCAGGTCATGAAGGAAAAGATTAGGGTGCCATGGAAGCATGTACCAGGGCTCCTAACCGGGTTCTCATACACATTGCCCATGCTTTCTTTTTGCTTGGTCAGATTTTGAACGCATCTTTCCCAACTCAGAAGCCAGACTAAACACTCAGGTCTCTCACTAAAGAAAACCAAGCCACAAGGCACTGATGAACACTGTCGGTTTTACTGAGGATTTTTGTGGGGCTAGGGGTTAAATTGGGTAGAGTTAAGTTGCACCTGACAAAGTTAAGTTGCAAACAACTTCATGAAAATCTCCATTAAAAGTTGCTCATCTCCCTGCCCATCACAACCCAGTTCTCTCTGGCCATTGAAAGAATTCCCCTTTGTATAACTAGCCATTCCCATCCGTGGCAGCACCAAATTAGATAGAAAAGACTGAGCGGACCAAAGCAGCGAATGGGGCTGGCAGTTTGGAAGGTAGATCCTTTCTAAGATTGGGCCTTTTGAGAAAAGAAGGAAAGACAACAGTGGAGGCAGGTAAAGCGCCAGCCGTGGCTGCAGAGATGAAGACCTGCTGGCTAAGAAGGTGACAGCAGCATCAGGAGGGACAGGAGCGTGGAGCTGGAGACCTGATCAAAGAGGAGGGGGCTGACAAGAGCACGTCGCCTACTGGGAGGACGCTAAGGCCCACACCCTCTAGGACTCCTTGAGGGCATCAGCTCAAGAGACTGGGAATTCAGGAGTCCAGTAAACAGTCGACTGCCCGCCACGTCTGCACAGGTGTCTACCTCTCCAGGGCACCGCGCGGACATTGTGTAAAGGAGCAGGTGGCCGGCCCCTTCTCTATACTGCCCCGCTAGGCTTCAGCCTGTAATGCAACTACATGATTCCTGTTTCTCCATGCTTGCATCCTGCTGCCCAACCCTTAGCCCAGCAAACGAAACCCCACAATACCTGTAGCCACCCTGCTTGGAACACATTGGGAAGTTTGTGAACAAGAAATACTCTATTATGTCACATACAGTATTTTTGTTTGTGACACCCAAACTACAAGAACTACTCGGGTAAGAACTTTTTCGTGGCCCTTCCACCATGTTTAGTTTCTCGGCTTTAACTCCTGGACCAAGACATTTGTCTCCCATCTTCCACATGCACACCCAGCATCGGTGTGATTTGTTTCCCCTCTCTTCCTAAACATGCTACTCCTCGGAGTATCAATTGTTTCTGACAACTTGCCCAAATCATCACCACCACTCTGAATTTGAATTCCATATTCCAGGGTCCCAGTTTTCCTCAAGACGTGTGTTAAGAATTCTTTTGTCAGTTCAGAAAAAGAGAGAGCCTAAAGTACACATTTGGTTTCTCTTGCCCAGGAATAAATGTGACTTGGAATGCAAGGCTATTTTCTCTGCCTGGAAGGTAGCTTGACTCTCCACTATCAAAGGAAACAATGTTACAGTCCACAAGGTAACCAGAAGCGCAGAAGACCTCCAGGAAGCTACAGCAAAGCTGATCACACCTCGTCTATCTTCTGCTGCACGGGTATGCTTTTATTTTTATGCCCATTTTCCCTGCTGACCTGGAGGCTTTTGAAGGTCAGCAGTTGTGATGTTCCTGGTTAAGTGTTTGCTGTTAAGATTACAGTGCGTTAGAAGAAGCAAGCCAAAGTTAGCATGTACCCACAGCCGATTGTAATAATCTTACACCTTCACTGTGGCCATTTCGTGAGTGCCTTTCTTTGCAGCTATTGCCATCCAGCTAGAGCATTAAAAAATTATATCATCTTTTAAAAATAACAACTTCTTACACATACAAATGTTTACAAGCTACCTTCTAGATATGCTAATGACTTTCACCTGGGTATTTTGAGATCCACAAGTCTACAGTTGAATAGTTGATCAATAAGCACCAAATTTTCTTCTTCCAGTTCATGAATAATGTTTTCCAATTTTTCAACTTCCTTCTTGTGGTTTGCAATCTGTTCTCAGAAGAGAATGGATGGATGTTGGTACTTGTTCACTTAGTTCAAGATAGTCTTCTGTAAAATACTCAACTCCTAAAAGTCCATTTGCCTGAGGGGAAGATCTACCCTGTATTATTTATCACTGGGTTTGCTTTGTCCTTCCTCTCTAAGAAGTGATGGGTGGGTCTCTTTTCTGGATTGTTTGCAGAACTTGTTTACATGGTTAGGCAGTTACTAGTGAATGGCAGGAGTTGTCTTTTCCTACTCTTCAGAAACCCTGGAGAGTTCTATGTGCTGGAGGTAGAGATAAACATGAAAATAAGACTAACTTATTGTTGTGCTTAAATGGGGAAGATGGTGATAAAAACAAAAAGCAGTGTGATCAAACCAGAACGGAAGATGCTCAGCTATGGTGGGAGTTTCACCCTAGGTCTGGGGTACGGGTTAAGGGAGAATTAATAGAGGAGATGATTTTCATTTTGTAGGTGATGGAAGGTCATGGGCAGACATAGGTTTAATGTTTACTAAAGAAATATGACTAACTTAATTAAATATGAACAAAATTTGCTGCTTCTTTTGATGGAATTCCCATCAGTCTTTAAGAAGTATATTTTGGAAACTTTGTCTAAAGACTTAGGTAGTGGGAAAGATATATAGGATGTTACTAGACTCACCTCTCTGCCTGCCTCATGTAGCATGAACTATACAGGTGTTGCATTGAGAGGTGCTCATGGAGATAGGTCAGGATGATAGGAGAATTAGAAGGGTATAGAAAAGGGGCACCTGCGTAGCTCAGTCAGTTAAGCATCTGACTCTTGATTTCAGCTCAAGTCATGATCTTAGGGTCATGAGATCAAGCCCCATGTCTACTCTGGGCTCAGTGGAGAGTCTGCTTGAGATTCTCTCTCTCCCTCTTCCTATGCCCCTCCCCCCAAGCATGCTTTCTCCCTAAAATAAATAAATAAATGTTTTTAAAAAAAGACTATAAAAGAGAAAGTGATATGCTGATGGGAATAATGGAGATAAACTGGAAAAAGTAAGTATCTCAAGGGACTATGATGAAACAAAAAAGGTTCAGGGGTTTAGATTCAGTATCTCTTGTTAGGTGTTGCCAAGAGCGTAGCTGAGATGAGTACTTGGATAACTAACAGTTTTTACTTGTACTTGAAATTTATTTATTGCATTTTGGAATCTGAAAACATTCTGTATATTACTACATGCATATCTCTCACATAAGTCATGTATTAAATGCTTAAATTCCTACTATGAGCAAGGTTCTGTGTGAGACATAGAAGGATGCAAAAGTGAATGAGGCATGGAAAGAGTTTCCCTCCGGGTGCCTGGGTGGCTCAGTAGGTTAAAGCCTCTGCCTTCGGCTTCGGTCATGATCCCAGGTCCTGGGATCGAACCCCGCATGGGGCTCTCTGCTCCACGGAGAGCCTGCTTCCTTCTCTCTCTCTGCCTGCCTCTCTGCCTACTTGTGATCTCTGTCTGTCAAATAAATAAATAAAATCTTAAAAAAAAAAAAGTTTCCTTCAAAGAGGCTTATAATCCGATGAACAAATACACGAATAACAGTAACATAAAACAATGCTAGTGCCATAGAAAAGGCTCAAATATTGCTGGAGGCTTACACTTAGAAAGAAAAGCATATATTATTTACCTGCCTTAAACTATTCAGCAAACCATTTTAAGTCCATAATACTAAGTTATAGAAAGCTTTTAGGGGTTGGTGCTTTAGCATCTCGTGAGTTGGGAGATCATCAGCTTGATTACGGGCTTGAATGCCTTAAGGAAAAGTTAATAATTTTCAAATGTCAAAGAATGAGAAAAATTATATTTAGAGTTTGTAAACAGAAGGAATTGATAGAACATTTGGAAATGTTTGACCCAAGGGCTTGGCATGCTTGGGAGGCAGCACACACAGTTCTTGGTCTCCTTCCAAAGTTGAGAATGAAGAGGTCCTTTTTGGGGAGTTAAGTCCGATCTTCCAAGCTAAGGATATCTTGTGGCATCACTGACCCTTTGGACTACTAACTAAGGTTCCCAACAATTACTGTCTCCAGCCTTTTGAAATATTAGGGAAATGAAAACTACTTCCTTTTTATCGCCATGTAAATACCTTTACATTTCTAGTGTAAGAAAGTTAAAAGGAGGAAGTAGAAGACTGCTTTCTCTCCCTATCTGGGCTTCTCCCCAGATACCCAAGAAAGGTACTTAAGAGATTGAGAAAGATAATTTAAACTATTATAAGTTAGAGACAGGATCCTGAATTAAATGTGTGCTCTTGAAAATTTCCCTGCAAGATGCAAGTTAGCTTCATGCCTTCTCACACTTGAAACTCGGGTTGCTAACCTCTTTGAATCCCTTTGTCTAGTTTTATTGGCTTTCTATTTGTTGAGTGAATCTAAGTCATTTGGAAATTTCAGTTTTCTTCCCTTCCTTAATTATCATGCTAAATAAAACCAGATAGTGTAAGTCATGCATAGGACACTACATATCCTTCCCACAGATACAAGTTTTTGGTTATCGGTGAAAGATAGTTAAATAGAGAAATGCTTTCAGGACTTCCATTATTATTGTTTTTTTGCACTGTATTTTAGTACCTTTAATGACATGTTTTTCCTGCAAGAGTTCCATTATTGAATATCCCTTGTTAATCATTCTAAACCTCTCTCAAAGAAATTAATTGACATACATTATTCCATTTCTGGGCAATTTTCAATTCTTGTGATAATACTTATAGCCAGGGATGATTATTAATTAATTTTATGAGTAAATTTAATAATGCTAAAATAAGTATTTATTGAAATAAGGAGAAATTAAGTCTATTAAATTTCCTTAAAATGATTTGTCCTTTATTACTAAGCTCTTTTGCTCATGATTTAATTAAACTTGACATTTTTCCTGTCTTTTATTTCTACTGAATCATGAGAAATAAAAAATAAATGAAACAAAATATCATTTGTGGCTTTAGTAGGAAGGATCAAAACACCAAAAAACCCTTTCTTATCAGTCAGATATAAATTTTTACAGGTATTCTCTCTGAACCTAATATCTATGACATCTTATAAGATTGAAGATTTGAATTGTTAAATTATTATTAATTAGGATTATGCTGTTATATTCAATAAAAGTATCAAGATTAAACTGCTCCCTAATATTCTTTAACTGTTAGGCTCACCTTGAGTTTTTGGGTTTTTTTTAAAGATTTTATTTATTTACTGGAGAGAGAAAGAGAGGCATATACCCATGAGCATGGGGAGGAGCAGAGAGAGTGGGAGAAGTAGGCTCCCCACTAAGCAGGAAGCCCAACACAAGGGCCTCCATTCCAGGACCCTGGCTGGGATCATGACCTGAGCTGAAGGCAGATGCTTAACCAACTGAGCCGCCCAGGCACCCATTCACCTTGAGTTTTTAAAATCAATATTCATTTTTTAAAACTGGGGATTCATCTTGATTCATTTTGGATGTAGTTTGGACTCCTATTTACCATGACTTTATAAGGGCAGCTTAAAGATAATAGTTGCTATCATAGAAAGCACATTAATTTTTAAATTACTTGTTTCCCAGATTCACCAACTTTATTCAGCCAAATAGGGGGCAAGGAAAAGAGAAGAGAAGGTGACAGTGACATTTTTACTTCACATATCTGAGCAGATGGTGAAAAAGGAGATGCAAGAAGTGAAAATTTAATAACGAATCCTGCTTTAGTTATGTTGAGTACCTTTGGGACATCCATGTGGAAATATTTGGCAGGCAAATAAAGATACAGGTCTAGAGCTACGGACACACATGTTAGTGCTGAACACGCACATTTGAGAATCATGTACATATATATAACTTGCTAACAAGAGCTGTGTGTAGCTGAAGTGAATTCTTCCAAAAGAGAGGGAGTGTTCTTTTATAGACAGTATCTGAGCACAGGTTGGTGACTACTTGTCTGGATATAAAGGGAATTTCCAAGTAGTGAGTTTTGCACATCTTCTGTAGCACCTTGTAATATCTAGACCAAAGATTATCTACCTCTTTTATCCAATAACATGCTTTCACATCTTTATCCAAGATGTAAGCCATGTACTTGATTCATATCTCCAATGAATATATCTATACTCACGGACATCCTTTTATTCAATAACTATATATTGAACATAGATTATTGATTAGTTCTCATGGACATGCAGTGGAAAAGGCATAGCCTGCTCTCTGCAATGAAGAGATAGATGCAAAAACAGACCATTTCAACATATTTTAACAAGAGTTATGAAACAAGAGAGCACCGAGTAAAAAGTACTCAAGACTTTCTGGGGGAAATACAAAATGATTCAGAAAGAAATTAAGCATCAAAGTCTGTGCCTAAAAGGGAGTTGGGAGTTTTCCAGGTACATGAGTGTAAGGAGGGAAGACAGAGGGTCTAGTCTGTACGGTGTGAGGAACACAGGACAGTGCCTCATAACAAAGAAGGTCTAGAAGTCCTCCCATGACCACATTCAGTGAGAGCAGTATTGCAGCGCTGGTATAGGGAGACCCGGGGAGCTGAGTCTAAGGTAGCACACTGGGCCACTAGTTCCCACATGTTCTCCAGAAAGAGGCGTGAAGAGAGTCTGATGACCAAGCCTGGATAGGCTGTAGAGACTGCAGTGGATAGGGACATCTTGACCACTGGCAAATGGCTGCAACTGTGGGTTCAGTATTGGCTGCAACATGATGTCCACAAGGCCAGAGCAGTCCATTCAGAGGTCACCAGTGCAGGGAGCAGACGAAAGCACGTCCTGTACAGACAAAAGGCAGAGGGAGCAAAGATCCAAAGGAAACCCACAGATCTGAGCCCTCTTCAATGACATGCCCCACAAGAGGGCATGTAAGCCCCACCTCCTTATATAACAGGATCTGTCTTGGAGCAGAGGAGGGGGAAGTAAGGAAATCTAACCGACTGAACATTTATGCGAAGGAGACTATGTCATCCCAAAAAGGCAATTCAAAAACAGCAGGGAATGAGGCTAGAATGGTCCTTCAGCCTTTCTCCCACTACCCAGAAGGAAGTAGAGTCTTGAGGAAGACCAGGTCAATTTTAGGGCATAAAGAAGCTTCATACATTTGAGTATATTATATGAGTCAGGATGCCAAAAATGATTTCTAGTTGTTATTGAAATTATTGATGGTATTCATTGAGTAACAGCTTGTAATAAGATTAGGATTCCACTTACATTTTACTTTAGCTAGTCACAATTCTATGCTTTTCCCAGTCTTCGGCTCATAAATTAACGTCCTTTCCAGTTCAAAAAAATGAGAAAGAAGAAATTGTTTTTTAAAATTTCACCTACTGGGGCACCTGGGTGGCTCAGTGGGTTAAGTCACTGCCTTTGGCTCCGGTCACGATGTCAGGGTCCTGGGATTGAGCCCTGCATCTAGCTCTCTGCTCAGCGGGGAGCCTGTATCCCCCTCTCTCTGCCTGTCTCTCTGCATACTTGTGATCTCTCTCTCTGTCAAATAAATAAATAAAATCTTTAAAAATAAATAAATAAAATAAAATTCCACCTACCTCCTTTTTCAGCCAGTCATTCTCCCAGATCTCTCGGTAGCTGCCCTTGTCAATGAACCGTATGGCATTCTAAAAGAAAGTTTCTGTATTAAGGAAGACTTGCAGCAGGTGCTTCACAATCAACTTATCTGATCATTTTACATTATGTTTTGCAATTATTTGGGGAATATATCTAAGAACTTTTGCTTCAGTTGTTCTTTATTCTCATATTATTTTTTGCTGATTCACACTGCCTAATACAGGTGATTTAGAGAACTGGACAATAGCTATCCATTCAATTTGGCTTCCATTGTGACTGAATCTGATTGCCATGATGAAATCAATTCATTAAGTGATCTGTTCCATGATTAAAGCGGGTGAACTTCAGGGACCAAATATTCTTCAAGTTTAGGGTCATAGACATAATCCAACATAGAGCAAAAGCATGAGTAGATTCTTACTACATTTTTAATCTGAAAGACTTCTGCATGTCAGTAATAAATATATACATATTTACAAACTTAATAACAAATAGTCTCAAGGTAACTAGACTGTCTCCTGGAGAAAGTCATTTTAGATGAAGAAAACAGGAAAATCATCACTTTTTCAGTAGTTCATAAAATGTAAATTCATTTTTAATTTTTGTTTATTTATAGTTTTCCCCAAAGGAACTTTATAATGGATGAAAGATTGCATTTATCTGTGAGGTACTTTTATATGGATACAGAAATTCCACATTCAGTAACCAAAGGGCATAACCAAAACAAGAGAAATTAGGAAAAATTTTATAGATCATAAACACAGACAGAAGTAATTTAAAAATATGAATAAATTTATCTCAGTCTTTGAATTGGAAGATTTGCAATAATTTTTTTTTCTTCAAATCATGCTAATTAGACTAAGGGTACACCTACATTCCCTAGGAACCAAGACCTTTTATACTCCAGCTGCCACTGATAGCTCTGAAGTGTCCTGGAACACAGAATTTCATTTGAACAGAAGCAGAATACATCTCATAACGGAAGTTAGTGGGCTAATGGCTTCATTCACTAACAATGGAGCAGGGGTCTTCAACTTTGGGTGCATGCTAGAATCTCCTGGGCAGTTCGACAAATCCAGAAACCAAGTCAACATCGCAGGCCAATTACACAAGCATCTCTGAGGAACCAAATGAGTTAATCAAACTTCTCAGGTGACTCCAATATGCAGCCAAGGTTGCACAACAGTGGATTATCAGAAGCTAAAGTTACGCTAAAATAGCCAGATAAAATGGGGAAAATTCATTCACATGTGTGGGTGTTAGGCATTAATGTAGAGAAAAGACAATGTATCAGGTAGTGAGTAAGAATGATGATCTGAAGGAGACATCTGGAATTGAATCTCGATTCTGCCACTTGCTCTAGGAAAGCCACAAAAATTTCTCTGTGCCTCAATCTTCTCTTTAGCAAGTGTCTGCCTTATGGGATTGTTGAGAGACATACATGTAAAATGCTCAGAGCAGTATCTGGAACAGTCCTCATGATATATTGAATGTGTATACTTGAAATATATTTGATCTACAGATGCATTTTTAATCATCTTAACTATGTTCAGATCATTTTATTGTTGACTTCGCCATTTCATCATATTCAGTCCCAAATGGGCTGAATTTTATGGGCAAATAAACTATTGGTCAGTTCTCCATAATCCTCTATATTTGTATAAGTACTTAAAAGTCATGCAGTAGGATAGTAACTGAAAGAACAATTGAACTAACAGTTAAGCAACAAACAATAGCAACTGAAATTCAGTGAAGAACTTTAAAGAAGACCAGATGTTTATGATTCTGAAGAGGAGTTACTGTAAATGAAGAGACAGTCCCTGTGGGGATCTTAGTAACCAAAGAGAGAGTCTGGGGGCAGGGGAAGGACAGTGAAAACAAAGGGATTAGAAAACATAAAATGTTGGAAATTACATCTCAAACTTTTTTTAAGATTTTATTTATTTGTCAGAGAGAGAGTTGGCATGAGCAGAGGGGTACGGCAGGAAGAGGGAGAAGCAGTCTCCCCACTGAGCAGGGAACCTGATGCGGGACTTGATCCCCGGATGCTGGGATCATGAACTGAGCTGAAGGCAGACTTAACTGACTGAGCTGTCCAGGCGCCCCTCAAACATTTTTTTATATCCCCAAATTTTAAAGCTCCACAATGTAAAGTACACTCTCTTAGGTTTGGATATATATGACAGTACTTTTTAGACAAATCATATTTCATTTTATAATGCATCCGAAACTTGTATTTCATAATTCGTTGTAGCCATTATTATTACTTAAAAATAACTGAATAAGTTACTGAGCTCTTGTTCCTTATGAGCACTATGCTACTTAAATCATCTCATTTAATCCTCATACTCTTCTTTAAAGGTAAATAACATTATTGCCCTTTTTTTAAAATTAGGAAACTGAAGCCCAGAGAAGTCAAGGAACAAATTTAGTTTATATTCCCAGTAAGTGGTAGAACCATGATTTAAACTAAACTGCCAAACTTCAGAACTCAGGTTCTTAATCATTATAATATACCATGGGAAAAAATAGAGGAGCAACTTTTGTTTTGTTTTTAAGAAAACTGAAATATACCTGTGTGGCCCATTCCTTCTTTTGATCCAGTTGCAACAAAGTTTCTCTGATTATTTTCTTTCTAGCATCTTCCAGAGTGACTTTATAGTGTTCTTTAAAAAGAAAATTAGAAGCTTTAACAAGGCTAGTCCTAGGTAAAACTATGCTGCTCGTAAATTTTATCTTTCATGATCCTCTCCTCTCCTTTCTACATATTTTCCCCCCAAATTCTCAGGGTACATTTTTACTGAAGCATCTAGTAACTCCTGTTAGAAGAAACGCTCCAATAATTTGCCAACACCTTAATGTGAATTAGCTTAAGATGCTGTCTCTCCTAAGAATATTTGTATTCTCAAAGGATTGTCTTTCCAAAGGGAAAATTCCCAATACTTTAGGGCAGCCATCTACCTTGCATATCACACACTTCTGATTCCATAACGGAAATATAAAGAAGATTTGATTATCTGCAGGAGAAGCATCCTGTACCTCTGGCTCCATCTAACTAAATTTCCAGTATTCTTGGCATGCATTTCCTTGGGCAGGAAAGACAGAATGAGAAGACAGAGGGGGTGAAGGGGCTGTGAAAGTCAGCCCCTCGTTCTGAGTGGGGCTCAGAGCAAGAAAGGAGGACAGATATGAAGAAGTGCAGGATTCTTTATTCTCTCCAGATTTTCTTATGTCATAGTCAGGATTGAGAGAGCAAAGGATCATAAAATTTTAGGCCTTGAAAGATGCTTCGTGATCATACCATCAACAACTCTGTTCAAGGGAAAGTGTGATATAGTGACATTAAGGCTGCTGTAGAGAGTGGAGAGGAAGGAAACTGGTCTAACCTGACATCTGGAGAATAAGAAAATGGAAGTCCTCATGATTCCAACCTGCATATACCCATCCATATAACCTCTATTCTTCTTACTCCCATTCGGAGTTATCACTTGGATATTTTAATCATTCCAATCTCATTTCTGATAGAATTTGTTTCAATTCAGGACCTAGTCCACTAGACTAAGGGTGGCTGTTTAGTTGAAACTTCTACCCAACAAAACACAACAGGCAGTCTAAGAGTTGCGATGGATCAGGAGTTTAGTTATAACGGATTTTTCATTCTTAACATCTGAAAGAAACCATCACCTGGAGCTTGATAAGATTAAATATTAATTCTTTGCTGCAAATCCTAAAAAACAGATGATCAAATATGCTCTGACTAAAGTTATAGCTGTCTCTAGTGCCATATTAACACTGATAAAGCAATAAAAATACCCAACTTGTTCCAAGTTCCATATAAAATTCTATGAACTCTTTATCTTCTGAAGAACAGAGTAACCAGCACAAGGGAGGATATAAAAATCTCATTGCTAGCTTTCGTGATTCCCATGCTGCTTTGAGAAACAATGGTTAACCATGCATTTGTGAATACAGCCAAAGAAGCTGGGAGTATGAAACATCTCCTCTCATAAAAGTTGGAGATGTTGCTAATGGGAGCATGGGAGACTGTGGCTTTGTGCCTTTAAACTCCTGGCTGTTCAGACCCCTAATGTGGCCACTTCTCAGAAGCTGATAGCAAAGCCACGCTGGCTGAAACTTGCTTTGCATCATTCTGCCTTCCCTGCTGGGTCTGGCTCCGTGTTGCTTTGCTCCCCCACTGTTTTCTGGAAGTCTGTTGCCCACTTTTCACACACTTGTCAGTGTCACACGACCTCACTGTGCTGACCCTCTCCTGTGGAGAGGCCGGCAGTGGCCTCTTGTGAGTCTCTTGGAGATCACCAAAGGACTCCCATTTTTACAGATGAAGAAATCAATGTTCAAAGAAGTAATGTTCCTTTTTTGTAAGTGCATTTGAACCCAAATCTTAGTGTACAAAGAAATTTTAGAGATTCCTGTCCTGTGTGCCTGGTGAAGGACAAAAGTAAAAATGCTCTGTGACCCTGATATCTAATGACTTATCATAACCCCACACTTTCTGTATTGCTGGGCCTCACTAAGGTCCCCTTTCCTTTTATTGAGAGATAAAGCCTTTTGCTGGATAGAATAGTGACTGTGTTTCCTCTATTCACTATCCCAACATCTCCCAGCCAAAGTTCAGGGAAGCAGCTCTAGGTACTTCCTCCCACCCCCCCCCCACCCCAGAGCTCATGGATGGTCCCAAATAAGGCAGGGATGGATAGCTGACCACAGAATGGCCGACCCATGCCCCATGAGGAGGCATGGATAAAGGTCTTTGCTCATCTTCTTTAGGTAGGTGAGGACACCAGCTCTTCAGAATCTGGGCTGGAGAAAACTGCAAGAACTGGTGTGTGGGAAGCAAGAAGAGAATGGGGACAGGACAGAGCAAAGCAGAGGCCACATGAAGGGGGCACAGGCCATGAAAGATAAATGTAGAGAGGAGCCATCACTAGAGCTACCACTGGGCTTCTGTTTCCATCTTCAGTCTTCCCATTCCTCACTGCAAGTGATATATTCAACGAACATGACCATGGGACATCAAACAAACTTAGCCTTATCTCTTCCCTTTAAAATGCATACTGTGACGGGGCGCCTGGGTGGCTCAGTGGGTTAAAGCCTCTGCCTTCGGCTCGGGTCGTGATCCCAGGGTCCTGGGATCGAGCCCCACATCGGGCTCTCTGCTCAGCAGGGAGCCTGCTTCCCTCTCCCTCTCTGCCTGCTTGTGATCTCTGTCTGTCAAATAAATAAATAAAATAAAATAAATGCATACTGTGAGGCTAGTAATTATCCCAACAAGATATATGGCAAGTTTTTTACTTTTCTGGATCCTTTGTGATAATAAGAGCCCTCCAATCAGGGATTAACATATCCAGTCTTTTGTAGTAATTAAAACTTTAAACTCCATTCAAAGCTGTGGCTATTCCCTTCCCAACCTGGACATACAACTATTTCATCTAATTTGAGTTTCTGTGCCTCCTCCCTCAAGGCTGAAGAGAAACATGGAAAGGGACAAGAAAGCTCTCACTTGGCAGAGACTGTCTCAAGCTAATGTGGCACTTTCTGGTCCTAGCTGGCACTTAAGGTTGATTCCTTTTCCATGGGAGAATTTTATACGTTCTTCAGGGGACCACCTTCCCCATTGCTAGTTATTTCACCCGTGTTTCTTGATGCAGGGATGTACTGTCCTTGAGGCTGGCCAACAACTTGTCCTCTGGCCTCTGGCTCTCAATCTGTTGCTCCCTCCCATACATGCAGGCTCCTATTTCTCTGTTAGGACACCATCACGGAGCTCTAACAGGACTGTGTACTAGCTCTCTCTCACAGCACATTCAAAGGAAACACGTTTGTGCTTTGCCATGACAAACTCTGAGAGTGCAGCCTGCGGCGGACAGTATTTGTGGCCCCTGCCCCCAATTCATGCCTTGAAACATGATCCCCAGTGTGATGGTATTTGGAGATGGGGTCTTCGGGCGGTCCTTAGGTCAAGAGGGGGGAACCCTCAAGAATGAGATTAATGCACTTAAAAAAAGACTCCAAAAAGCTCCTTTGTCCCTTCACTAAAGATGACTGTCTGTGGACCAAGAAGTGGGTATTCACCAGACACCAAAACTGCTGGCATTGATCTTGAACTTCCCAGCCTGCAGAACTGTGAGAAATAAATTTCTGTTGTCTATAAAACACCCACTTAATGTATCTTGTTGTAGTAGTCTAAAAGGACTAAGACACAGGCCTAGCTCAGGACAGCAGCCGCTTCCCCTTTGGCTCTGCTGTCAGAATGATCAGTCAGTCTCTTACCCTCTAGATTTCTCAGGACTAGACCTCCATGTCTCCCAAGCCACAGAGGATGCATACTGAACAATCTGAGGAATTTCCTCAAAGATTGTTCATCTTGATCTGAGGTGACAGAAGAATTACTCTTCACCTGCCCCTTTGTGAGACAGCATAGGACGTACAGCACACCAAGATCTCTTCCTAAACACTGTCCCCTAATTTCCAACAATCTTTTCTTGACCTTTCCAACTTCTTGTATAGACTGGAACTCAGTTTTCTGTCTCCTCGGCATGGCAGTCTCTCAGTTTACTCCGAAATGTGGTGTCTGTTATATTAGCACCCCAATTTAAACTGAGACTTAAAAAGTTGACTTTAGTGTCCTGTTTCAATAACCACCTCTTACCCTAAAATACTTGTTCCTTGCAAGTAAACTCCATGATCATGGGTGTGGGAGGAACATTCTAGAGAAATCATGGAGGAAGGGAAGAAAAACGACAATAGTAAGGCTCCAGATAAATCAATTTAAGTGTCCTGCTTTTACCCATGGTCCAATTACTGGCCCCCAGAGTATTTCCATAGTCCCCAAGCCAAGTTGCTGCTGCTACCTGCATGGTTAGGAGAAATCCCTAAAACTAATGAAGATAAGAAAAGCCCATAACAGCTATTTTCCTATGACACCTAAAGTCAGCTACAGACTAAGGTTTAACCAGAAAATAATTCAATATGTAAGTGTTATTACCACCATCCCAAAGCTGGATACACAGCATGACACTTTACAACTCAAAGAAATCATCCAAATTTCTGATCAAGATAATGGGTTCATAATTTTATCTGAGAAGATGACTTCTTAATTTAAAATATAAAGAAATGTTGGGGGGATTAAAACTTTTAAACTTCCCCAAATAGTAACCATTTTAAAAGTATAGGACTGGTACACAAATACATAGATCAGTGGAACAGAACAGAAAGTACAAGGAGAGACCCAGATACACATGGGAAACTAAAGTATGATAAAGTCAGCGTTTCAAATCAGCAGGGTTAAAATGAATGATTTGATACACAATGTTAGGGTTAAGGTTAGGGTTACCATCTGCTAAAAAATAAAGTTGGTTTCCTACCGCATAGACACAGAAAAAAATCAAAGATGTAAATATTAAAATGACACCATAAATATTCTAGAAGAAAATATTGGACAACTTATTCATCATCTCAGATATCATAAAATAAAAATCTAGTTTGGGCACTCTAAAACTTCAATATGTCCCCATAAATATAGCCCATCAAAAAAGACTAATGACAAATGGTGGAAATATTTGTACTTTGTGTTACAGTTAAAGAGCTAATTTCCTTAAAATGTAAAGAACTTTACAACACAGTAGAAAAATGAGCAAGGGATGTGAACAGATGGTTCACAGAAAAGGAAATGTAGTTATATTTCCCATTACATTTCCTGAACTTGTGACAAGATATCCACTATCACTTATAATAAGAGAAGTGGAAATTAAATTTACAGTGAGATATAACTTTCTCCTTTTAAGACTGGCAAAGAACAAAAAGTTAGCTAACATCCCTGTTGTTGAAGATGCAGAAACATAGGCATCCTCATCTACACAGGGAGACATCAGGCATGGGTTAGGGGTGTTTGGTCAACTTGGTACAAGCTCTATGGATGGCCATATCTATCAAAATAAAAAAGAAATAAATGGGCACTTTGGGCCAGCTATTCCTTCCTAGAGATACACAAAAATGAAATTACATAAATACAAGGATATTCATTACAGTAAAAGGAGACTTTTAAGAATATTCATTGCAGCATTATTTGTATTAGTAAAATATAGGAAACAACCTAAATGCTTATGAGTAGGGGACTTGTAAAAATATTATAATACAACAAAACAAAGTAGCTACTGGAAGAATGAAGTACTAATATGTACTGATCTATAAGAATGTTCATATTGTTACATGAAAAAGCAAGTGCCAAATTGTATTTGTAGCATGCTCTGTATATGTTGATACAAAGTATTTCGGACAACAGCTACAAAAATTGGTAATAGTGGTTTTATCTAGAGAGAGGGTCTGAGGGGCTGGAGGATAGATGGGCATAGAAAGGTGTCCCCTCTCCCTTTTTAAAAAAGATTTATTTATTTATTATTAGAGAAAGAGAGAGAGAGAGTGGGCAGGAGGGAGGGGAAGAGGGAGAGAGAGTTCCAAGCAGATGCCCTGCTGAGTGTGGAGCCTGATGTAGGGCTTGATCTCAGGACCCTAAAATCATGACCTGAGCTGAAACCAAGAGCCAGATGCTTAACCAACTGAGCCACCTGGTTGCCTCAGAAGGTGTCCCTTTTATTCTCCACTTTTTTTCTGGGGAGGAAAATATTTTGAAAAATTGGAACTCTAAACTCAGACTGATTTGGAACCAAATTTACATTGCCTTTGTGGTGCAGAAGCCCTGAGCTGAGAAACTTACAGAATTCTTGGTCCAGTAGTGGAACATCCCATGACAGGGCCCCTGCAGGGGATCATGGAAATGACCCCACATGAATACCTCCACTACTCAGGGCACCATCACCAGCTGTCATCTGGCCAGTGTTCTTCTGAGTCATCCGATCTCTCCATTTATTCTACTCTATGACTTTCCTTTCTCTGGTTCTCTGATTTTTTTTAAGCCATTGTGCTTAGCCACAGTGACAGATAGATGGCCTCATGGTTCTCAGAACTAGTCCTGGTAAGCTTCATCACTCCTGATGCCATCACACTCCACACTCTCTCCATTTCCCGTCTTGTGTTTGTGTTTCAGTTCTTTCTGACTATAACCTAGCATTTACTGACTATAACCTAGCATTTACTAGATTACTAGTAATCTGACTATTACCTAGCATTGTGTTTCTCTACAATGATTCCGGTTTTATAGCCTGATTAAGTTGTTTTAAGCTTGCTTCAGGTAAATTTCTTTTCAATATAACCCTGTTCCCGGACCTTCCTACCTCAGTTGAATTGCCCCAGACCTAGGAATAGAAACATGCAGACACCATCCACTGAATGAAGCTTCATTCTCCAAGGCAGTTGGTCTCAGGGATTCTCCACTCCCCCCCAGCCCCAACACCAGTCCTTCTTCTCCTCAGTTCCATTGGTGGTCCTGGGAGAGTTTCTGCACTTCCTCTCTCCACCTTAGGTTCATAGCTGCTTGTGCTGATAGTAAAGAATGATCCAGGAAGTACACATTTTTTCCCTTCTACCAAAGGGCTGTTCTCCAAAGATTTTCTATTGAATTTGAACTAGCTTTGTTGCAACTGACCTGACATTTTCTCTGCATTTTCTTTAACTCTACTGATGTCATTCTGCAAGGAGGTAATGAGTTTAGCATGGTGTTCACTGCCTACATTCTTGTATTCTTCCCAGTATTCCTTTTCACTGAGTTTCTCAAGAAATAGTTTCTCAGCATTACTTATTTGCATGCGCATATCTGTTGAGAGAAAATCAAGGCACCATGTTGTTTCCATTGTTCTTATAGCCATGATACGTTGCAATTTGATTTTATGAAGTTAAGGCCTGAAAGGTCTGCTACTAAAATGCTGTTAACTCATAAATGCAAATTTTTATCTACAGTTAAAGTGAATCTAAACTATTTCAACTATTGTTTCTCCCTCATGATGCATAATCCAAGTAAAATTAAACTTCCAATTATAAAATAGATGTGTGGCTTTAGGCTGTGACAGGTAAGTTAATAGACTACCTATATGCCTGGGAATGCAGAAGCTTAAATTAATCCCATGATAGCTTGATAAGTGTCCTATTTTGTACATTATATCACATAGACTTTTTATTAATAAATTGTCACTTTTCTGACCATTGTGCCTCTGGGCAAAGTGAGTTCAACTTTTATCCTGTGCTGTCCCTGACAACCATTTTTGTAAATAAATAGATTGCTTCCATCTAAAGTTCAGTGTTTGGGCTTCCCTTGTGTGAGATGATACCATAGGACAGTAATCTCAACATGTCTTCCCTGGGCCCCACTTACAAAGGCCTTCAGAGTGAAAGATAAACTCTCTAGTAAAATATGTACAAATACTGAGCTGTGTTGCCCATATAAGCCTTCACTTTGTCCTGGTGCACTTGCTAAACATGATATTCTACTCCATCTTTAGGCTGGGTCTCGTGCTTCTCAATATTTTAGAACTGGAAGTATTACAAAGAGCAGAGTACAAGGAATTTAGGGGCCATTTGGCTCAGTGCCACACACCATCTTGTTTGACAGCTCCCTGAAGGTAAGACCACATCTTATTCTTCTCTACAAAAGCAGCACTTATCATGGAGTCTGGCAATTAGCTGGTGCTCAATAAATGTTTATGGAATGACCGACGCATTACAATCAGGGCAGAGGGATGTTCTTCAATATAGAGTGGCGGAAGGACTCCAGACATGTCTTTTTCCAAGACGGTAAATAAGATCCTATATTTTTAAATCCCTTGATAAATGGCCCTTGTTATTGCCACTGAACAGTGAATACCGCTATAATATGCATGACAAGCGGCTGCTGTCTCAGCCCTGTCCCACAGTCAGCCTTTGAGTGGAGGGCTGGGTACGGTCACTGAAGACTGAAAGAGAGGTGGAGGGAATGGCGGCTGTTCTACTTTGCCAGAGCCCATGTCCCTTCCCTCCTCCTGCCCCTTGTCAAACAAGAGGGCCAATTACAGTGGCCCCTTCTCCTGGCCAGAAAGATTTGTTCAGGGGGAGCATGTGTCTCAAGCTGGGCACATGCTCAGAGGCCTTCCCTGGAAACACAGTCCCTCGAACTGGGGGAAAACATGTCTCTTTTGTCTCTATTTGAAGGTTAAGAGGATGTACGGTGAGAAGTGTCCATGGTCAGAGTTCCAGCTTCATGGGGACAACGGCCTCAGAAAAAGGAGCCAACTTTCGGGAGCAAGACAGAAGGAGAAGAGGGGTAAAAGACAGGGATGGGGAGAAAGAAAGAAGGAGAGGGAGAAGAGGTTAAAAAAAGAGAGAGAAAAGCTGAGATCGGACAGCATGTGAGGCTCTGGGTCCAGGTCAGGAGCACCCTTCCTTTTCCGTTTGGTTTTATAACACCCTCTTTATGCTTAGGGTAGTTTGGGTTAACTTTTCATCCATGCAACTGAAGAGTCCTAACTAAAAGGTGAAAAACAGGGGTTACATCAGTTCTTCTCGAACCTTCCCGTGCATGGGAGTCCCCCCGGATCTCGTGACAGTGCAGACTCTAAGTCAGGAGACCGGAATGGGCCTGAGACTCTGCATTGCAACAAGCTGCCAGATGAAGCTGTCGCCGCCGCTCCCCAAACCCACTCAGTTTACAGTGACTCCCAGGGACATAAGAGAACTGCCTCACAAAGGCTTTTCCCATCCGTCTGTCCTCCTGCTTTCCCTCCCTCCCTCAGCATCTGTGGGCTCCTTTGGTCCTTGGACCGCCTCGCATGCCCAGCCCTCCTCTGCTGTGCTCAGTCACCCGGTGTCGCCCCAGTCACTCATGACACATGCGTCCTAGCACTCAGCCGAAACTGTAACCAGGACACCTTGGCTAGCTGGGCCCATTTCCCTGCGAAGGCACTTTAGTGAGCACATCTAAGTATTGTTTGTGGTCTCACTCCCATCCCAAGGGACTTATTAAAGTCCTCCTTCCGAACATAAACAGAAGTCTCCTGGAGAGGCACCCTGGGAAATACAGTATCTACCACCTCGTGACATCCCCCCTGCCCTCCAAAGAACAGGCAGAACAGGCTTGTGGGAACAGTTGTGGAGACCCCTAAAAATGAAGTTTGCTGGTTGATGGCTGGTTTTGGAAACCATCTCATTCAAAACCACAGCTGTTGACAGATGGTGTGCTTGCTGTGCATAAAGTGCTTGGGTCAGTAGGCTCTCTGAACTTGCAGAAGTTCAGGGAATCTCATCCTTGTTATGCCTTCCAGCTGCTAGGACTGCTTTCTGAGAACACTCACATCTCTCCCTAAGTTTTCCAGCTTCCTAGCTGTGATGGTTTATATAGAGGTTCTGGCAGAAGTGGTTTGGGAAATCTTAGCAGAAAGTTTCGGATATAGGAATAAAATTTTTCTTTAAAAAAAAAAAATGCATGTGTTAGAATGATGTATGACTCACCCACCTACCCATGGTTTTTCCTAAAGTCCATGCAAGAGTAGGTCATGCTCTACCATCTTCTGCACCTAGAATTATTTCTTTCCACGTCCTCCAACCTTCCCCCTAGCCAACTCTCATTCCTCTTTTCCCACCAAAATGGGGGGCTTAGCTCCCTTAGTGATACTGGTGGGGGGGCAGCTTCATGGCAATATTCACCCTGTTCCCCAGTCTGAACTGAGTTGGAAGCCAAAGAACCTGTCAGACAAGAGAATTTCCCTGAGGAAAGAACAAATTCCCCCTGTGAGGACTTCAGGGTAGCAGCTAACAGGCTCTTGTCTGCTGTTGAGAGCCAGGTGGTTTTCCTCTGCCTTTGTTTTTGGTCAGTGCCCTTCCTCCTCTTCCTCCCCCACCTCCCCCTCACTTGGCTTCAGTAGCTCTGCCCACTCTTACTTCCCTCTCCGGCCCATTTACCCACATGTGTGTGTGCTTGCGGTGGTAATGTTCTCATCTGGACATGTTCGCCACACTTTAAACATATTAGGAGACAAAAGCATGAACACATTCAAGAAATGCCTAAGTTCCTAAGTCACCTTTCAAGTTTTCCTCCTGATCTCTTTCAAACTTCCATTTCTCCTTCATTGCGTTTTCAACATCTTCTCTTGTTACAACTGGTAACCCGTCTGACTTCTCTTCACTCAGCTCCTTTAGTAGGTTCCGTATGTGCCAAGTCTGTTCGTCCTTCAAGTGTTTGTTCTGCCATGAAAATCAACAGTGGGTAACTACATCTGCTCGAGTATTTACATTGACTTGCCTCAAAACGGAGTCACATGCTGAGGCTTACAAAGTGAGAATAAAACATCTAATGAAATAAATTTATACAGTATGTCTAAGAGCTTCTGGAACATGGAAGGTGCAAAGTAAAATTAAACCCATCAACACAGCAACTATTGAGTAGAAGGTTACATTTAAAAAATTATGTTATTGGGGCACCTGGGTCACTCAGCGGTTAAGCGTCTGCCTTCTGCTCAGGTGGTGATCCTAGCATCCTGGCATCGAGCCCCACGTCCAGCTCCCAGTTCAGTGGGGAGTCTGCTTCTCCCTCTGCCCCTGTCCCTGCTTGTGCTCTCTCTCTCTTGCTCTCCCTCTCAAATAAATAAATAAAATCTTTTAAAAAAATTTACAAATTGTGTTATTAACCTCCCAGTCTATCACCCTAGCATAGAATCAGTGAACATTAAAGTAGGACCTCGGAGGCCAATTTCTTCAGTCTCTCACTTCTTTAGTCTCTCACTAAAACCTTCTTCTCCAGCGATCCTCATACATCTGGTCAGTATTTATGAAGCATATGCCAGGCGGTCTTCTAGACACTGGGAATATATGAGAGAATGTTATATGCAAAACACAGTGGCCCCTGTGTTTTGTCTAGGCAAAGCATGTGTCTCAAGCTAAGGACATGCTTAGAGTCCTTCCCTGGAAATACTTATGCTGAAACTGGTGAAAAACATATCTCTCTTGTCTCCATTTTGTGGTTTAAAAGGATGTAAGGTGAGAGGTGTCCATGGTCAGAGTCCCAGCCTCATGGGGACAACAACCTTAGAAAATGGATGCTTCCATTGCAAAGATAAAACTTAACCCAAAGTAGCCTAAGCATGAAGAGGAAGTTAATTTTTTCACATAACCGAACAGAAAAAAGCAGGGAGCTACACCTGGACCAAGGCTCATGTGCTGTCAGAGCTCAGCTTTTCCAAATGTTTGAAAATCTACTCACCCCCTCCTTCTCTCTCATCCCCTCTCCTCCTCTGCTCCCTTATTCTACCCACCCCAATCCCTCTTCCAACTCTGCCTTTCCCCATGAATGTTGGCTCCTTTGTAAAATGGTACAGCTACTCTGTTAAAAAGAATGCCAATTTCTTATAAAACTAAACATTTGCTTACCACACAACTGAGCTCTTAAGCATTCATTTCAGAGAAATGAAAGCTTATATTCACCTAAAAACCTGTACACAAATGTTTCTAAAAGATGTATTTATCATAGCCAAATACAGGAAACAACTCACATGTCTTTCAATAGGTAAATGGTTAAATAAATTGTGGTACATCCATATCACAAAATAAAAATAAATAAAAGGAACCAGCTCATGATACATGCAGCGAACTGAATCTCTAGAAAATTATGCTGAATGAAAAAGTCAGTCTCCAAAGATTACTTACAAAGATTAATTACTAGTAAGTAATTTATATAACATTCTTAGGATAACAAAATTATAAGTCTGGAGAACAGATTAATGGTTTCCAGGAGTTGATGAAGAGGTGGAATTGGGAGGGAGGAAGTGTCTATAAAAGGACAATGTGAGAGATATTTATGTTGATGGAAACTTTCTGTGTCTTGACCGTATCAATGTCAGTATTGTTAATGTTAATATCCTACTTGTGATATTATACTACAGTCCTGTACTCTGTTATAGGAAACCACGTTATGGTTATACAGGATCTCTCTGTATTATTCCTTGTAACTGCATGCCAATCTATAATTATTCCAAAAAAGTTTAATTTAAAAATGGAGGTCAGTCAATATTAGCAACTGATAAACAATATATTGCTCTTTCATCGATTCTCAAATGTTCCATTTTCTTGAAGGAAATGGATTCATGTTTTGTCTTCTTATAAATAAATTGAATTACTTTGGCTTGACATGAGTTATTTGAAAATGAAATATCTGTAGAAACTTGAATAATACCGGTGGAACTGTCCCTTGTCAAACTATTGCACTGCTAATACTTTTTCCAAATACGGACTTTTCCACTTATTTTTGTTAGAAGTGGAAAATTCCTTTATCAAGTATAGTCTGAATACTAAATAAATCTTCACCTGGTTTTATTTGTTAGCTAATTTTAGTAAGGCAACAGTCACCTCAAAATCAATTCCAACTCTACAACAGGCAAAACCCCCCAAAGACAGTGATCATTTAAAAACCACTGCATATAATTCATAAAGAAATAATGTGTAATCAATCAACAAATTTTGCTCTTACTTTCCCTACTTAGCACAATACTTGTCAAAGTGAATGCAGTCTTCTTAGATCAAATTTTTAACACTATGACTATTCTTTTCAAACATATGATATTTTCATTTATAAATTAAAATAGTAACATATGTCCTAAAATGTGACTGAATGTTGCATAAATATGACTAAATCACAGTTGGCATTATATGTAAATATATTACATATTTATTAAATATGTTTGAATTAAATTAAAATATTAAATATATTTAATAACATCCATATTAAACTTCCCAAATCCCATAATGAATTTCAAATGGATGGCAAATGTGTCTGGCAACATGTTACAAAATTCACTATATCTGAAAAATTATTTTGAGTGATATACTGAAATAAAATTTAGTTAGACATATTCACAATGTGTTAAAAAAAGGACCTTTATCCTACGAAGTAGACAACTGTTATTCAAAGTAAGAATAATTGTCACACTATAAAATAGAAGAAAGGAGATTCAATAAATAAACTACAAAGGACTGGTTTGTTTGTTATAAGGCCATCTCATGGGTTTTAACTTTTTAAGTCTTTAAGATTCACGGGAGCAAGAGCAGAAGTTGCCAAGATAGTACACAGATTTCTCTCTTACTACTTCCCTGCTTTCCCCAACGATGACATCCCATATAACCAGAGCACGTGATCAAACTGGAGAAATAGACATTACAACGTTATTAAGTAAATTAGAGACTTTATTTGGATTTTATCAGTTTTTACACGTGCTCATTTTAATTTCTTTGTGTGGGTAAGTATTATGAAAATTTGTCACATATATGTATGAAAATTATCTCATATAGATGGCATTTGAAGTTGTGGTGTTAAGTAAGATCTTTAAAGAGAAGAGTTGAGATCAGAACCTTGGAAAATACATTAGGGGTGGGTCCATCCCATTCATTCAGAGCAATGAATGAAAACAAGAAATTGTTGGTGAATAGGGGGGATACTTAGGGAAAGTGATGTCCTGGCAGCCAAAGAAAGAGAGTTTCAAGGTGACAGGGACGACTGCTGAAGGCACAAGGGGTAAAGTGAGGACTACAAAGAGGCCATTGGACCTGGCTACTTGGTCATTAATATCTTCTGCCCTAGCAGTCGTGGTGGAGTAGCAGGAGTGAAAGAACGAACCAGAGGTAAGGAAGTGGACACAGGGAACTATGAAACGTCTAATGAGGAACAGTGAATGCAAACAGAAAAAAATGGAAGATAATAAATGAAGTAAGAGTCCAAACAAAACACACACAAAGGAAGAGATGACGTGTAGGAAGGAGGAGGGCTGTTTCTGATTTTGACCTAACTGAAAAGTATGTCTTGCTAATGAGTCATGTTTAACTTAGCAACTAAATATCCATGACCTCAAAAAATTTTCCTTTCACAGTTGTTAGTGTGAATCAACTCAATAAATATTTATTGAACTCCTACGCATGCTGGGTCCTTCCAGAGAAACAAAGGTAAGTAAGATTTAACTGCTGCTGCCTAACAAGCTTTCAATTTAATAATGGAGTTTTCAATTTAATATTGACTTTTGTATGCTGCATTCCACCTTAGTTTGGGGGAATGAAAAGGAGCTAGCCAACAGAAGAGCGTTCCCAGAAGATGGAAGAGTGCGTAAAGTACAGCAATGCATCGACTGGGTTTTCCAAGATTTAAAAGAAGCAGTGGTAAACAAAGGGTGGACGAACTAGAGATGACTTTGGAGAGGTGAGCAGAGGATAAGTTTTGTAGGGCCTCAAAGACTTTAGTAAAGAGTAGAGCATGGGGGCACCTGGGTGGCTCAGTGTGTTAAAGCCTCTGTCTTTGGCTCAGGTCATGATCTCAGGGTCCTGGGATGGAGCCCTGCGTCGGGCTCTCTGCTCAGCGGGGAGCCTCCTTCCTCCCTCTCTCTCTGCCTGCCTCTCTGCCTACTTGTGATCTCTGTCAAATAAATAAATAAAAATCTTTAAAAAAAAAAAGAGTAGCGCATGGATTTAATTTTCTGTACAATAGGAAGCCACCATAGGGTTTTAAGCACTGAAAAGTTTACAGTGTTTGAAGGGTTGGCACTTGGAAAATGTACTGAATTGAAGAAGGATGGCTAAGAGATAGTGGCAGCTTAAACTGGGGCAGTAGCAGCATAAATGGAAAGAAACAGATACATAGAGTTGGAGCTAGAGTCTGTCTCTCCATGTTCCTCACTGCTGGGTCCACTGATGACCTATCCCATTCTTGGGTGAATCCTCATGAAAATAAGAATTTTGTTTCTGGCTTCAAATAAGGGGCTGTGGGAAAATGATTCCTCAGTCCTGATCTGTTCTTTCCACAACCAAATGGAAGTCCAAGGCTGACCCAGGAGTCCCATTGGTGACCCCTGGGGAGTGTGCATTGGTCCCTTGATGGCAGCTCACTCCTCTCCCATGCTGTGGATCTCATCATGTAGAACTGCACCCCAACACCTAGACCAAAGTTCCTATTCCCATTCTCATCCAGAGACCTGAGTTTCTGATTGAGTCTGATAAACAGATGTTAGTGACCCATTCTGGAGAATCATAACAATGTCAGGGTCACAGTTACGTTACCACCATGGCATGTCTGGCCCAATAAATGTTGCTGAATGAATGGCTAAATTAGCTGTATTTGGAAGACAGGAATTCCCATGTCATAGGAGGGAAACTGAGACTCCTACCAGTTTGGGCCAGAATGATACCAGCACTAAGTGGTACAAGTCAGGATGCAAACTCAGGTCTCTGACCCCAGACTCCATTAAAACTTGTAGATATAGTCAACTAGACAAAAGCCAAATAAAACAATTAACTGTGGAAGTTTTAGAGTCCATATGAATGATTTAATAGGGAATTGTCTCAGTATTTACTCACTTATGAGCTACTTTAAGAGATAAGTTGTGTTAATAATCACTTACTGCTTCCAGACTGTATTTCTGCCAGTCTTTAGTCATGACAGTCATATACAGCATGGCTTTGATATTCATTTTAATCTGATTTTATAAATACAATATATCATCTTAAACATTAAATGAGTCACTTTAACAGTTGAGATTGTACTTTTCAAATAATATTTACATCTGCACCATCTGAAAATCTAAAAGCAAAAACATAGAAATTAAAAACAGAGAACCAGTGTTCTATCCTTTGGCTAAATAACAGATAAATGTGGTTTCAGAATCTTAAAATTTTGAACGTGAGATTCAGGGTCATGATGAAAGAAATAACACAGCTCAAGCTGACTTCCTTTGACATGGTAATTAATATAATAGAAACAGCAGTGCCCTCTTGCCTTAAATGTACCGAAAACTGAGATTGTAAATTAATCAATTTCAGGCACTAAAGAGATGATTTCCTGGAATACATGTCATCATAATTTACAATTTTTAAGGCAGTTGTGTAAATGTTTAATAACTAGATATAAACTTGATTTTTAAATTTTTTAAAAAGATTTTATTTATTTGTCAGAGAGAGAGAGAGCATAAGCAGGGGGAGAGGGGGAGGGAGAAGCAGGCTCCCCACTGAGCAGGGAGCCCCATGCGGGATTCAATCCCAGGACCCTGGGATCATGACCTAAACTGAAGGCAGACGTTTAACTGACTGAGCCACCCAGGCGCCCCTAGATATAAGCTCTAAATGTTATACTTACTCTTTCTTGATACTTTTGATTCTTTTCTCTAAGACTTCTTATTTGAGCCATAAATCGTTCTACTGCATTTTCCTTTATTTGACAGCTGATAATAAACAAAGATGTGTTACAATTATTTATCAAGGAAAATTAATGAGACAAATTTAAAAATTAAACTATTTAGAATGAAATAAAGTATTGGATATATTAAAAAAAAACCCATTGAAGGATCCGATACCTTCTTAAGTGGATTTTTTTGTTTGCATTTCTGAGTATATTTGACTCACTAAAATATATATTGGAGAGATAACTTCAAGTTTTTTTCCTAAATCACTCCCCATTTGTATTTCGCAATCACAATTTTTATACTTTCTAAACATCTATAAATAACTCAGCTTAGAAGAAACCTAGGGAAGGGCACACAGAAAACATGCTTTCTAGAATTCTAAAAAAATTCAGACAAAAATGACAAAGACTTATAAGGGCAGGCACATCTTCTTGAAATAGTTAGATAAATGAGGCACACCTGGGGTTCAAATTCATTAGTATGTCATATCTTCTATGAATAATAAAAGCTTTCCTGACACAAACATATTTCTTTAATACGCAACAAGTATCTGTTGAGTATCTGTGAGGTACAAAGGAGAGATGGGACAGTGCAGAAAGACTTTGGTATAGGCCATTTGACAGCTATTTGAAGGGCTAAGTATATCTCTCTCTATTACCCAGCAAATCTTGTAACTTTAAATCTGAGACCAAAGTAACATGATGGAAGCAGCTTTGTGTAAACCCCTTGCCTCAATTAAAACAGCAAAAATAAAAACACAGCACCTCTGTGGTATAGTGAATAGAGAGGTCGTTACAGAATGAGAAACATCGTGTCCCTGTCACCACTCACCTGTATGACCTCAGGCAAGTCACAATACCTAGCTCTAATCCTATGAGGATTAAAATGAGAAATTGCATGCGAATGTTTCTAGCATAAAGTGAGTGCTTAGTAAATTTCAGTTGAACTTGAATTTGAACTTGAATCTTAGCTTCTCGGCCCTTCCTCCAAAACACCATTTACATGTGTGACATCGTGTATTCAGTAGAGAGAAAATGAGGCTCCTTCTTTCCCAGTGATGAGAAAATGCAACATAAAAACAAAACAAGCAATTCTTTTAGTGGCAAAAGTGCTGTTGGATGCTGTGAAACTTGGACTTCAGTCCCCCTTCTCCACCAACAGTCTAAGGACTCTCAACCTAGTTAGGCCTTGGCTTACTCCTCTGTAGGTAAGAGTATTGAAGAGAATTGAAGGCGAAGAGCTCTACACTTTCAGTTCCCCAATTCTGCAATTTACATCAGTCATCGTTCCCTTTCATGCAGTCACATGGATAACACATACAGCACATGGGGGATTTAAAGAGCTGCTGCTCCGTGCCCAGTATTGTTTATGGCATTATGGAGATAGGGTTGAACAAGACCTCCATGATCCTTGCCCCCAAGGAGCTTCCGTTTTACTAGGCAATAAAGAAGTAAACACCCAAACATATTACTTACCCATTGTTATGGGGGAAATAACAGGCCATGTATGACAAGGGTAGTAAATGGAAGCAACTACTATACACAAGGTGGTTTCCACACAGTAGGAGGTATAAACCTTCTTTTTACTTCTCACCTAAAGTTTTGGTGTGGGGGCACCTGGGTGGCTCAGTCAGTTAAATGTCTGCCTTCAGCTCAGGGTCATGATCCCAGGGTTCCAGGGTCAAGCCCCGTGTCAGGCTCCCTGCTCAGTGGGGAGTCTGCTTCTCCTTTTCCCTCTGCTGTCCCCCCTGCTTGTGCTCTCTCTCTCTCCCTCTCTGTGAAATAGATAAATAAAATCTTTAAAAAAAAATAAAGCTTAAGTGTGCAAAAATTCTGAAGGGGTGCCTTCTCTATCTCCCATTTTTAAGGAGAAAAATTAAAATATTGTAAATGAGAATTATCTGAGAAAGGCCTATGCAAATGTATGCAAATTGTGCAAGTTCTACAATTATAAATACGGCAAACTAATTCATTCCCTGCATGGGTGAAGCAGACAAATGAATCTCAAGTATATGATAGCCCCCAGTTGAGACGGAGGCTTTGGGTGGTCTGGTTAATAGACTTCCTGGCTTTGGCTGAGAGGCATCCTTGGTGATGACTGAGCATGCAAAAATGGGTCTGGAGACTCCATCCAGCCCCAACCCCAGATACTGCATGGCGCACACTTATACTAAAAAAAAGAAAAAAAAAATTATTTCTCATTTATTTGAAATTCAAATTTAACTTGGCATTGTGTAATTTTATTTGCTGTATCTGGCAACTTGACACTTAAGTCTAGCACCTCTCCGTTGAGAGCAGTTAGGAGCCAGTGACCTGGGGCTTTGTCTTGTGTTCCTTGTGAGCAGTTCAGAAAGATTTAAGTGACACCAGCAGGCCTCAGGGGCAATTCTGAGGGGCCCTAAAGGTTTTGGTGGCTTCATTGCCCCGGTTGTGGCTCACATGGAAGTTGTAGGTCTAAGTTAGCTGAGCCTTTCCTTGGAATTTATTTCAACCTCCATGAGTCTCATGAAGATGAAACTGAACTTCAGAACTCAACACTATTAGCTGCTATGAGAATTCAAGCTTCACTGTTCTCTGTATACTTTTTCCTTTTCAGATCTCCCTCAGAGCCCATCGTACATACATGTCACACCAAATACTGAAGCAAGTAGGATGATAAGCCAGTGAGATAATATATATTGAAGTGGTTTGAAAAGGATACACACTATTCAAAAACTCAGTGATGTGAAATTGTTAGTAATACAACAGGTCACCTTTCCCCTTCCCTCTCTGTATTATTAAGATGTTACTAATGTGTCAGTTTTCTCCCTCCAGGCAATCTCATTGAAAATTCTGAGAAGGAAAACAAATAAATCTGGATTTCTTTTTTTTTTTTTAAGAAAGAGAGAGTGAGAGCATGGGGTGGGAGGGGCAGAAGGAGAGGGAAAGAGATTTCCAAGCAGACTTGAGCATGGAGCCCGACGTGGGGCTCCATCTCATGACCCCAAATCATGACCTGAGTTGAAAGCAAGAGATGGACGCTTAACCAACTGTGCCACCCAGTGCCCCTAAATCTGAATTTAAAAAAAAATTATGTTCTTATCTATTTTTTAACCTATAATCATATCCACATCTATCTCTATAGCTATGTTCATATTCATTGTAGAAAACTGGGGGAAAAACAAGTATAAGGGACAAAATTAAAACCACCGTTACCTAGAGATGGTGATCGCCTCAGATTTAGCATTGCTGGTCTCAGCTCTTCACAAACAACCCCAGAGGTTCATGACTTTATTTTGGGGGGCATAGATTAAAAAATGTTTAGTTGTTCAGAAATCACTGACTACCTACTATGTGCTTCCAGCTCTTTATTAGATGAGAACAATCTCATAAGAGAATTATAAGATGCTACCAGGGGACCCTTGGGCAGTCCTTTCTCAGAAAGCGAGGGGGCTGTTTTGGCTCCTCATCATGTGACAAAAGTTCCATCACCTGGGAACACATGGAATGAGCCACGTGTCACTTAGCAGAGCATGGTGCAGCAAGGCTTTGACTGTTGCAGTCCATGAGATTATTTATTTAGTCTTAACAGAGAGAGAACAAAAGCATGAGATGTTCAATTTATATCTTGCATTAGATCATGAGAATTTTAAATGTTTGTCTCTTTGTAAACCTCTGTTAAAGAACAGAAATACTGGCCTCTGACTGACCTAGAAGAGAAAGAAACAATTGTATTTGGATGTCATCAACGTAAACCGTAGGAGCAAATTAGAGACCAGGTTGTATTCACAGAGCCTGACTTTTTGTCCCCCTCTCCGAAGATGAGATGAGGGAAGTTTTCCGTTACGCTGACAAATGAGTGCAAGTGATTTCTGGTTATAACTTCATGTCTCAAGTGGAAAATAAAAGAGAACTTTGTTAAAAGTCCCTTCCTATGGGTGTTTCTCTTAGTGTTCTGGCCCTTTCACTCCCTGTCCTCTAAAAAGAACAGACAGATTTGAGAAACTGAAGAAGGAGATGGATTTTCTTTGAATGTTGTTAAAAACAAATCTCTGGAAGGCCAGTGACACAGACTGGTCACCAGCCTCACGGGCTCCATCCTTGCAGCTTTGTTCCCCTCCAGTAAGTAGTGCCCAGTCCCGAATCCCACATGCTTCACAGGGCTTGGCTTATCTCACCCTTGCTGATATCACCAGTCTGCTCTTAACCTCTTCTCCCGCTCTCGGCCTTCTCTCTGTTCCTAGACTCTGAAAAGCTCTCCCTGACACCAGGGTCTTTCCCATAAGCCTTTTTCTCCTCCACCCTTTGTCTCCAAAACACCTGTTCCTCTGCCGGATATCAGCTTCAACGTCACTCACTCCAACAAGATTTCCTGACCCCTCTGACTGTTATCAAGTCCTTTAGTTAAACCATTACACAGGACCATATACTTTTCTTTCATAGCAACTTAATGGTAGCTATGCAATTTTTTGAAAAAGTTTGAAGTAGTTATCTAATGTCTGTCTCCCATGCCTCATCTGGGTAGGAACTGGATGGTCTGTTTGCTATTGTCCTCTAGCACTTGCCTTGGACTTGGTAAACATTCAAGTACTTGTTCAGTAGATGCATGAAGTACATGTCTTTTTTTTTTTTTATTTTAATTCCAGTATAGTTGGCATACAATGTTATATTAGTTTCAGGTGTACAATATAGTGATTCAGCAATTCTATACATTACTCAGTGCTCATCATGGTAAGTGTGCTCTTAATTCCCTGCACCTATTTCTCCCCTACCCAACCCCCCACCTTCCCTCCAGTAACCTTATCCTTTTGTTCTCTGTAGTTAAGTGTCTGTTTTTGGCTTGTCTCTTTTTTTTCTTTGTTCATTTGTTTTGTTTCTTAAATTCCACATATTGTGAAATCATATGGTATTTGTCTTTCTCTGACTGACATTTCACTTAGCATTGTGCTCTCTGGATCTATCCATGTTATTGCAAACGCTAAGATTTCATTCCTTTTTATGGCTGAATAATATTTCATTAATTTATTTATATATTTATATATCATATTATTTATATGTATAATAATCATAGTTATAGTATATAATTATATAATTTTATAAATATACAATTATGTATTATATATAATAAAATATATGTGTGTATTTGTGTATATATATATATATGATATATATATCATATATATATATTCCACTCATCTATCAGTGGACACCTGGGCTCTTCCATAGTTTGGCTATTGCAAAGAATGCTGCAATAAACATAGGGGTGCATGTATCCCTTTGAATTAGTGTTTTTATATTTTTTAGGTAGTGCAATTACTGAATTGTAAGGTAGTTCTATTTTTAGCTTTTTGGGGAACCCCCATACTGTTTTCTGTGTGGGGAGATTATTTGCATTCCTACCCACAGTTGACGAGGTTCCTTTTTCTTCCTTGTCATCCTCGTCAACACTTATTGTCTCTTGTATTTTTTATGTTAGCCACTCTGACAGGTGTGAGGTGATATGTTATTATAGTTTTGATTTGCATTTCTCTGATGATGAGTGATGTTGAGCATCTTTTCATATCTTCTGGCCATCTGGATATCTTCTTTGGAGAAATGTCTGCTCATGTCTTCTGCCAGTTTTCAATTAGATGTGTGTGTGTGTGTGTGTGTGTGTGTGTGTGTGTGTGTGTATGTGTGTGTGTGAACTGAGTTGTATCAGTTCTTTATATATCTTGGATACTAACTCCTTTTGGATATGTAATTTGTGAATATCTTCTCCCATTTAGTAGGTTGCCTTTTAGTTTTGTTCATTGTTTCTTTTGCTGTGAAAAGCTTTTTATTTTGATGTAGTCCCAATAGTTTATTTTTGCTTCTGCTTCCTTTGCTTCAGGAGACATATCCAGAAAAATGTTGCTATCAGTGATGTCAGAAAAATTACTGTCTCTGCTCTCTTCTAGGATTTTTATGGTTTCAGTGTCACCTTAAGTTCCTTAGTCCATTTTGAGTTTATTTTTGTGTATGGTATGAGAAGGTGGCCCAGTTTCCTTTTTTTGCATGTGACTGTGCAGTTTTCTCAACACCATTTATTGAAGAGACTGCTTTTTTTTTTTCATTGCATATTCTTGCCTCCTTTGTCAAAGATTGGTTGACCTTATAAGCATGGGTTTATTTCTGGGCTCTCCATTCTGTTCTATTGATCTCCATGTCTGTTTTTGTGCCAGTACCATATTGTTTTGATTACTACTGCTTTGTAGTATATCTTAAAATCTGGGATTGTCATACCTCCAGTGTGGTTCTTTTTCAAGATCGCTTTGGCTATTTGGGGTCTTTTGTGGTTCCATACAAATTTTAGGATTATTTGTTCTAGTTCTGTGAAAAATGCTATTGGTATTTCAATAGGGATTGCATTAAATATATAGATTGCTTTAGCTGGTATGGACATTTTAACAATATTTGTTCTTCTAATCCATGAGCATTGTTTGTATCACCTATAGTTTCCTTCCTCAGTGTTTTATAGTTTCCTGAGTACAGGTCTTTTACCTCCCTGGTTAAGTTTTATGCCCAGCTATTTTATTCTTTTTGGTGAAATGGGATTGTTTTCTTAATTTTTCTTTCTGCTACTTCATTATTAGTGTATAGAAATGCAACAGATTTGTGTATACTGATTTCGTATCCTGCAACATTCTTGATTTCATTTATCAGTTCAAGTAGGTTTTTGGTGGAGTCTTTTGGATTTTCCTTTTTTTTTTTTTTCTTTAACATCTTACCTATTTGACAAACAGAGATCACAAGCAGGCTGATAAGTAGGCAGAGAGAGAGAGAAGCAAGCTCCCTACTGAGCAGAGAGCCTGACACGGGGCTCGATCCCAAGACCCCGAGATCATGACCTGAGCCGAAGGCAGAAGCCCAACCCTCTGAGCCACCCAGGTACCCTTGGATTTTCTATAATGGTGTCATCCCGTATGCAAATAGTGAAAATTTTACTTCTTCCTTACTAATATAGATGCCTTTTATTTCTTTTTCTTGTCTGATTGTTGTGGCTAGAACTATGTGGAGTAAAACTGGTGAGAGTGGGCATCCTTGCCTTATTGCTGACCTTAGGGGAAAAGCTCTCGGTTTTTCACCACTGAATATGATGTTAGCTGCACAGTTTTCATATACGGCATTTATGACATTGAGGTATATTCCTTCTAAAACTACTTTGTTGAGGGTTATGAAATGCATTCTTATGTGGAAAGGACTGAAATGAACTCATTCACTCCCTAAGAATTACACATTAAGATACTTGCCCTCTGCCAAAAGCTGAGGTTCAAAATCTCCTCAGGGATTTGCTATCTATGAATTGGATACATCGTAAACATAGAATAGGTATTACCTCTAGTTTTGTCTCCAGCTCCTGGGAGTAAGACACTAGGGAATATTTTTATTAAAAATAATTGCATAATTTGGATTTGATCTCTATTATCTCTGGAGATAATACTCATTGGAACATCTAGAAATGAAAAATCTTCTACTCTTCTATAAATGTACATGAACTATTCTATGTTGTGCTTTAAGAGGTTAAGTCAGCCAGCTGTTATATACAAATTATGTATACAGTATGTGGGAGAGTGACCAATAATACATCAGAGGGAGAGAGGGAGCCAAAACCACATTATTGAATGCTGTTTCATTGCTACTACTTGGAATATGTTATAGTCAAATTTCAAAACTTTGAAAAGTATGCACATGGCTAGCTCTCTTGACAGGTTTTGAGTGTATCACTTTCCATTTGGAATTATAGGAATCTTAACATTGATTTCCATTTACAGATGGGAACATTTAGATTCCATAATCTAAGCTTACTGGTAGTCGAGAAGTGCTTCACTGGTAGGCAATTTGACTTCTTTGTGTGGCCCATATTGAATATCCTTCTTATTTGCTTTCGCTGTGTTATCCATTGTGTTGCTTAGTTAGTAAGAAGCATACCTGTTTAGAAAAGAAATAGGAAAAGTAAATAAATTCTGTCCTTGCCCCCTACCTGTGCTTACTCAAGATGAGGAACTTCTGGGACTTAATTTAAAACTGTTTTTTCCACTCAGGTTTCGATGTCCCCAGACCTATTATCCACTGCAGTGCTGGGACATCATGAATCAGTGGATTCTTGAGTCTGATAAGTTCCATGTTTGGCCAGGTATAGCACTTCCCCACCCAAAACTTTCTAAGAGACTTATCCTCTGTGTTATCCATCTACATCCGTTGTCCCTATCAAACTTTTTTAAAAACAAGGACTGAACTTTTTCAGTCATTTTATTTCTCCACAGTGTTTGGCAACGTGCACTGCCCATAGTAGCAGGTCAGGAAATGTCTGTTAATTTTTTTTTTAATTAAGATAAAACAAAAGCACAATTTTCGATGAGCACCAAGAAACTAGAATCGAAAAGACTTAGGTTTTGCCAGGGTTGTTATAAAGAGCAAATAAAAGCATATTCAGATGGTTTTTTAAATGGCTAAGAGGTTTACAAATGCAAAAGAATAGTAATAATAAATTTTATTAATAGTAACTATTCATCAGCTATTAATTGCTTTTTAAATCAGTAATAAAAATTATAAAAAATAATATATTTTAAAAGTAAAAAATCAGGTCCACTGTTCACATATTTTTATAGTAAACAGGAATACCTCTTGGATAAATTTTTTGTAAAGGTACTAAAGGACTTCTTTTCAGATTATATGGTCTTCTGTTACATATTTTTATCTTTTAATTTCCATTAATCTCAAAAAAAAAGAGTGCCTAAACTTCAATCAGTGTATTAGTAGTTGAGTATGGTAGAAAGAATTTAGCCTTTGTAATTATTTATTTAGATGGCTGCAAACTCCATGAGAGTGGGAATGATATAATTCTTCTGCATTCATCTATTTCCCCACCTAGCACAAGTAGATGCACAAGAAATCCTCACAGAAGAAAGAAATGGATGGATGAATTAGGCAGACATGTTTTAATCCCAGATCCACCACCTGTTGTCTCTGTGACCTTGAGTAGGTTACTTAATCTTTCTGAGCTTCAGTATCATCATCTGTAAAGTGAGAGCAAAAATCTTATTCTAAAAGCCATTGTAAGGATTAAATATGGCCATTTGCTTAAAGCTCTAGATCATGCTTCTTCAAACTCCAGGTAACTGTAAAGAAGAGGATGTCTGCTTGCTGCCGAGTATGATGATATGTGGAAAAACTAATCCATGCGGTTTGCTATTGTCGACCCTCATCACTGACTTGGGTCCCTGGTTGGCATCCACATAGATCACTGAGATCCACAGTGGGAAATCTCGCTGAGATGAAACATGTTTTCCTAGACCTCCAGCCAGGCTCAGTCTTTGTGTCTGAGACTTTTCCAGCCAACTGTGTTCATCTCTCTACACTGACAGATCCAAGTATACCTCAATGCAAACATACTCTGATACCTTCCAGCTGAAAAGCACACAGGTTACACAACAGAAAGATTTAGCACATTAGGACAGAATAATATATTCAATGGTATCATCTCAGAGGTGAAAGTTTTGCGAACAGTTCCATAAACAACACACTGAAAGATGTCATTGTACCATCGTGGTTCACAGAAACTTACCAGCTGAGAACAAGTGCTTTCGTTTCAGATGCAGAGTTGAATTTTAATATTATTTTCTATTTTAGAATTGGAATTTTTACCTTAACTATTGCACGAAAGGATAACATGCTGGTCAGTATTTCATTTTGCAACAGTAAGTTACTACTTAACAGTGATTTTTACTATAAATATTTCATTTATAAGTTAAAACAAATGGTAACCTTGATCTCTCATTTTCTTTCTGAGTCATATGGAAGAGATCAAATGTTAGTGTTTCCACCTACAGTACCCATCTGGTGCTGGGAGGAAAATGACCTCATCTTGTTCAATTACCTTAGTTACCTGGCTCTGAGGTTTTCAACTCTTTTGCCTAAAGTATAATTAGTTATGTAACTGCAGCTCATAGCAAAGGGCTTTAATAAAATATGAGCGAAAATGTGGGTCCATGAAGCACAAATGATTTATGCATAAACTCTATTAATATTCATTGTTTCCCTTTCCAGAAAATTAGAAAGCACTGGCTTGCCCTCTTATTAGATGCATTTTTGCAATGAGCTAATAACCTTACTTCAGAAAGTACTTCTACATTTGATAATGTCCCATAAGCAGTGGGGATTTTCATAAGCATTTACGAGGATTTGCAGTTCCTGACCATCTAGAGGATTTCTAACTCAGCAAAGGGTGAGAATCATAGAAAAAAATTTTCACAAAGTAACATAATTATCTTTCAGGAAGTTTTTGCATAGACTATTCCTGACAGAGGGACAACTAATCTGTTTATCAGTAACTGAAACTATCTAGTCAGCGCTGGCTCTGTGAATGGCTTTACCTGGCCCTTAATTATAAAATAGGGAAGAGACAAGATCTCTACTCAGACAGATGGGAAGAAAGAAGCATACTCCAGCAGAACTTTAAAAAAAATAATGAGCAACTTTAAAAGACTAGCAAGACTGTGCAGGTGATGAAGGCTCCGGAGATCTCTGCCCACAGTTCGACCTTTTCTGCATGTTTTTCCTTTCCTGGCACTGTCGGGGCTTTTAGTAACATACGCCATGGAGGGAGGGCTGGCAAGGAATCACGGAGGCTATATTTGAAAAACTCAGCTCTTCTCGGAGCCCACCCCATAATCACTTTCCATCAGAAAATGTTTCAAAATATATTCTCTGAATGCTTCTCAGTGAAAAGTAAAAAATCTGTTTGGGTAAAATGGCTATATAATGTTGTCTGTTTGGCTATATACTAGCCATCTTCTCCGAATGTATTGTTATCCCTTAATGCTTTACTCGACTCTGCAAAATTACCCAAAAAACAAAGAGTGCATTCTCAGGATCCTGGCTCAATATATAGAAAGTTCCTAATGACTTTTCTCATGACTTTGTGGAGCCATGAATATCCAGAAGCCTCCTAATGACTCTTTTCAAATTTTGTGGAGGCTGGGAGGGATGGCAGTTCTGCCCTGATACCTTTCTGGACATTTGGAATGAATTCTGATGTTTGTTAGCCAATGTTTTTATATAAATGTAGATTAAAATGGAAGATATTTACTTAATAGCATTAGTAATGGCAAAAGTTCTGAATAAGATTCCCTCAGAGGTTGAGAGCAGAGGTTTAGTTAAAAGATCTCTATATGGGTGTTGGAAGTCTTGAGGTCTATCTATTCCTGGCTCTGCCGTGAACTAGCTATAAATATACAAATCTAATAAATAATAATAATGATGTCTACTATCTCAATATAGTGTTAATTGCAGTATGTATTTGAAAACATTCATGGCATTCATCCTCATCAAAACACAACTCCTTTAATACTGAATAACAGCTAATCACTTCGACAAACCATCTTTGGGTTTTCAAAAATATATTTTGGCCCATAGGCCAGCATCTCCCATGGATGCAAACTAGATGTTTAATAAATGTCTAATTTGAATGACCTACAAATAATGTGTACTCACTTTCTTTACCAATGGCACTATTTACTTGCTCATAATATTGTATATACCCTTAATTTAGAAAGTAAATCTTATTTATTTTAAGTAGGCTCTGCGCCCAGCATGGAGCCCAGTGTGGGGCTCAAACCCACAACCCTGAAATCAAGACCCAAGCCTAGATCAAGAGTTGGATGCTCAACTGACTGAGCCACCCAGGGGCCCTGAAAGTAAATCACCTTTAAATTCAAATTCTCACTTACGGTAAAACATATTTTTAATACAATTTTTTAAGGTTTTAGAAATACTCTCTAGTATATCATAAAAAACCCTGAATTCATTTAAAGCCTTTTAGTAGTGAGAGTATCACCTAAGAGTTAGCTTAAAACAAAGTCATCCTTGTTTTTTTAATCAATTATGTACATACAGCACAAAACAGCTCTAAGATGTAAAACACAGCCAGTTTGGAGATGTGTTAAACCACCATATATTCAAATTGAAGTATTTAAAAAATATCTGGATAGAGTGCCTGGTTGGCTCAGTCTCAGGATTGTGAGTTCAAGCTCCATGTTGGGTATGAAGCCCACTTAAAAAAAAAAAAAAGTAATAAAGTTAACTATTTAAATCTGGATAAATCTGGATAAATGATGTTCTTAACTTTCACTTGCCTAATTGATGATTTATATTACATTACCGCGTATTTTCTTTACCAACACTAATCCTTTGGTCAGTGGCACATTTCTGAACAGCAATTCTCAAATTATGCTGGACTCTAATGTTAAAAATCAGTCTATCTTCTGCTCCAGAATTGCTCATGACATAGTTTGAAGAGCACTATATTATACTAACTTCTCTAGCAACCAGAACTACATTTCCACCCCCCAACTCCCGGTATCCTTCAAACTTAAAAATGCCACAAAAGAACAGAAACATAATCATGAAAAAATATTGTAAGGATAAGGGAAATACATGTAGTATTTTCATCCTCTGGTGGTGGAAGAGAACAAAAAGGCTTCTAGCTTCAAAGAACAGTGGTGAATATGAAGGTCTACTGGATCCAGGTCTTGGGGTGGGGGCGAGATTCAAGGAAATCCATGAGCTGTTATCAGACACACAATTATAAATGCCCAATCTTATCACTTTCCTTCTCCGCCTTCACAGAAATATATATGTGTATATATCTTTCTTTCTTCAGTGGGACATCTTTCCTCTCCCAGCCACTCCTCAACTCTCTTTTGCCAGCAGAGAATTAATCATGGAGTAAGAAGGGGAGTGAAGAAGCAAGGTACTATACAAATCTAACAAATTAATCAAAGAAAGAAACTAAGTGTCCTCTTCAGAAGGATGTTTGCAGCATCCAGTGCCAGGAGCGGAAGCCAGTCTGCGGACTGGGAGGGTGAGGAAGAGACCAGAAACAACACTCAGGGCACTCAGG